CTCTCATTCCAGCCATTCCCCTGCTCTGTTGGAATAGCTGCCAGTGGTCACACAGACCAGGCCAAATAACACCCTAAATTACACTCATGACAGCCCCGTCTTAGTTTAAGTGGGGAATACGTAAGTTAGTGGGGAGCAGGATTAAACTTCTGTCTGCAGCCCCTGATTTACACAGTGTTCCCCCTTTTGCCTCTGGTACAAACACAGGCCCTGTTAGCAGCTCCAGGGGGAGCCAGGCAGTGACCCTTGGTCTGGGGGGTGCAGGGAGCAAAACCTCTGAATGACAAATGGTCTTGGCCCTGCTCAGAGGGCCCAACCTTCACACGCAGCACCCGCCCGGCCTCGGCCAGAGGCTGCATCTGCATTCCAGGACTTAGTGAGGCAAATGCTTTGCCCAACCACAACAGCTCCTGTGTCTGGCTGGTTCCTGACAGATAAGTGGAAATCAGTGCATCGTTCCAACCAGCAGAAGCCCTTTGTGTCCCAGAGCTGCTCCCGGCACAGGGCCCTGCCTGCCCAGCCCTGAGGGGACACAGCCCCCGGGGTTCTACCCCCTCAAAGGACTTGGTGCCTCCTCTGCCCTGCACCACCTGGGCATCTGTGAGGGGCTGCAGCCCTGAACTCCCGTGGGGACAAGATTAACTGGGGCAGGTTTGCTTTATCACCTCAAAGCAGTGGGGGCAATACCCTGGTGTCTCTGTTTTCCTCTCCTGACAGACAGAACAGATACATCCTCTGGTACTTCACCTTCCTGAGGGCACCTGCCATTGCCCAGCCAGGTTTCCTGTTAGACTTCAGAGCAACCAAAAACAGCAGCAAAACCAAGATGGTAAAAACTACACAACAAAAGCACTGCTCCTGAGGAACTCACACAGGAGTGGGAGTGGAGCCGCACTAACCAGGACAAAAAAGTCCCCTCTACTAACACAGGCCTATCTTTTTTCCTCTTTTTTCCTCTTCTTTGACTGCACTCTGGGAATTGAGTAGTCCCATGCAGTTCCTGTCAGTGCCTTTTACCATCTCCAGAAGATAACAACACCTTTGACTAAAGGCCACCCTTGCACAAGGTCGGGGAGTCACCCTTTGCTCTGAGGCAGCATTTGGGGTTTCAGTTGTTGACTGGGTAAATTCCAGACTGAGGCTCATCACAAGGGACTTAGAAGACCCTCCCACATGTAATCAACTCTTGTCTCTAAAACCTCATATTGAAAAAGCCTGAGGAAATAAAACAAAATAAAATCCCCAAGGCCTCCCATGGCCTGTTCCATCCCTCAGGCTTGAAAAGAACTGGGCCAACTGAGAAGAATTTTTATTATTTTTTTAAGTGGAGGTTGTGCTCCACCTGAGGCAGCTGAGACCACTTTGATGTGGCTGTAAATCTTCCCAAAATGTACTTTAAAATTAAATGCTGAAAGATCTCTCCAAAAAAGCATCTTTACAGGTCTCTCCCATACCTTTTTTTTTTTAGTTAAATGAGAAGCCAATTACTTTTTAACAGTAGGAACTGTAGTGAGGTAACAGGAAAGCCTGGAGACTCACTTTAAAAAAGCAAAATTTAAGCACTTCTAGCAGTTTTATATTGGGAATCTAAACCAGCAATTCCTTGAGTCCCACGGAGAAGGAGGTATAAAGGACATACACTCATGCCTGTTCTCTGATATTGGAAAGCACAAGCAGTTAACAAAAGGCAGAATACAACAGAACCAACACAGTTGAACTTCTGACACCCCTTGCACTGTTTTTTGGGCTGCAAACCTTGCAGCCTGACACTTTTCAGGAACCACAGACCCCTGCAGCCCAGGCAGGGGGATCCTGGGTCTGGAAGCACAGGCAGCCCCTCTGAGGCTGTTTTAATCTGTACATTTGGCTCCTTTAGACAAAACAAAAAACCCAAACCCCAACCAGTGCCCAGAGAGGTCCAATGTGATGCTGACAGGTGTAACTCAATGCTGGAGAGCGAAAGGAAGTTCAGTGTCTCTCAGATCAAGAAGCAGATTCAGTCAGCCATTCCATGCCTCTGCCTTCCTGACCTTCCCACATTTCCCCCCCTTGAAATGCTGTAGCAGATTTCACACCTCAAGGGGAAAAATTGCAATTAATCTCCTCAGTTTGGCCCTGTGGGGTGAGTTTACCCTGCAGAGGTGTGTGCACAGACACACACGGGGCCACACAGACACTTCCTGCCACGCACTCAGACTGAACCTGAGGGAGCACAGTCTGCACAAAGCACTTTTAACTGGCACCCTCACAAAAATGATGGCACTGTGCAAGGCAGAACATCCCAGTATCCCATTCTCTCATGCCAGTATCCCATTCTCTGCAGGTGCACTCGGTGTCAGGAAGCACAGGGAGCACAGGAGTGGGTGGTGCTCTTCCCTCCTGTCAATCCCAGCAGTCAGGTTACACTGTGATGAGCTTCTTGAAAAGGCAAAGGCCTTCTGATCCCCTGTTTCTTTCCAAAAGGTGACCTGTCAAAGATGAAAAGTGTTTTTTCTTCTAGAGTTTTTACTGCTCAATAAAACTGACATTTATTTTGCTGCTCATTCCAAGGAGTTTTTAGATATTAACTGAAGGGCAGGAGCTATGCTGGTATAAAATAGCTTTGCCCTATTAACCCATGAGAAACTGTCCAAATTTCCCTACCATGAAAACTTACACTAAAATTTTTGCCAGCTAGGGTGATAAAAATGCTTATTAGACAGTTCAGTGTCTAGGCTCTCTCTGTCCTGATCTTCAAGTACCTACATCCACAACTTAGTAGTCAAAGTCCAGCTGACTCTTCTGACTGTTCATTTTTGGTCTTTCCTTGCCAGGAATGCAGCTGTTTGCTTCAGCTGTGCTCTTAGCTGAATTTTCTTCCCCAGAGAGTCCTTGGAAAGGGGGAGCTGCTAGAACATGCCAGCTATTGCTATAGGGAAAATGGGATATTTGCAGATTATTTACATGTTGCACAGGAGGGTTTTGTTGTGGAGCTGCCTAAGAAAATAAGTGGCAAAGCTTTCCAGGCCATTGAGACCCTTGCTTTGTTCCTTCTGCCATTAAGCAGCAATCCTGGGTAGCAATGATGACTTTGGGGGTTGAGGCATTTGCAGCACAGCGAGTGTGGCACTGCCACATTCCATCACTGCCATTTGGGAAGCTTTTTGGAGAGGACACTCCAGACCTCTTTCCAAACCCGATCATTTCTGAAATACAGCACAAAGGGAAACCCAAAGCACTGATTCCTGGTTTGCACACAGGGAAGAAAATCTGGTAACCCTTTGTGTTACCATCCCTTCATTCCCCACCTCTCCAACTCTCCCACTTCAGCTGCAGATCTTCAAACAGATCCAACTTCCAGGTCTGAAATCAATTAAACAAGTCATTTGGTGACATTTTGTCGAGGGGCATTTTCAGGTCTGGAGCCCTTGTAACCCTAATTAAAGAGAGCATTGCAGTCTCAGCAAACAGCATCATATTTCAAAAGAATTTGAAACATAAAACACTACTACAAAGACAAAACATGTGTTTACCCAGGAGAAACTTCCTTGATTAGTGAAGGCTGTGATATAATTTTCGAAGCAGCCACTGAATTTAGGTTTGGATGCAGGATCTGGGTTTGAATTTTGGCTGCTCAGCTGCATTGCAAATGCAGCTTCACAGTCTGGAGGCACCAGAGTGCCTGTGCAGGGCAGTGCCAGGGAGCACAGGCACTTCCAAAGGTTTCCTTACAGCTATTAAACAATAGAAGAGAAAGAGATATTTCATCACCTATCATCTACACATGATAATTCCATCTCTGGAAGAAAGCATATGAGGAAGGAATCATTTTTCTCTGAGAATTCTTTCTCAGGTCTTGCCTCATATGAGTAAAATACAGGAAAACATTCCTTGAATTTGCTGACAACGTGCAGATACATTTTTGCCAGTGAGCAGTGAACTAGAACTAAAAATTAACTCCTCAAATAAACTGCCTTCTTTTAAGGCATAAGGAAATCTTTTGTCACTTTTGGAGTATAACTCCTCCTGTAAGCTCTGAAAACTTTCTCTCTGTACAATCTTGTCCTTGTTGAACAAGGATCAAGTTCGAGTGACACAAAAGACTTTTCTCAGCTGTCGGCTCAGCCTTTGTGGACACAGAACACTTCTGGTGCCCCCATGTTACACAACTTGGCCTTGCCCTTGTTCTGCTCAGGAACACAGCAGGCCTTTACTGGGCAGGGACAAAAGCAGGCTGGGCACAGACTTCTAAGTCTTTCTGGCAAGACTACTCTGGCTTCCCAAAAACTGGTTTAAGTCAGTTCACAGGAGAAGTAAAGCACTGCCTCACCCATGGCCTGTGCCATGATAGGCCTTCCCATAGACGGATAAAGCTGAAGCAGAAAGGATTGCTCTGAGCTCCAAGTGAATTCCTCCTCTACCTCCTCCAGCATTAGACATTCCATGCCCTGTTCCCAACAGCCATGACTCAGCAGAAGCAGCATCTCCAGCAACACTGTGAGTTAGAAATGGTTTCATCATCCTCATTCCAGCAGAGCCTGAGTGCAGCAATTCCCCACTGGCAAGGAAGGATGCAGCCACAAGTCAGCTACTTCAGGGGAGAATCCACCACATTTTTGGCCACCACACTGGTGGTTACCAGACAAAGGGTCTGATCCCAACTGCCACACTTCTTCCACAATGAGCAGCACCATTGCTACAGAGGAAACACAGCAGCAGAGCTGCTGCTTGTTCCCTGGGCAGTGGACAAGCAGGCACAGACCCCTCCAGGGCTCTGCCAGTCCCACAGCAGAGGAGGAGGCTGAGGCATTTACCGAAGGCTCAAGAGCTTTGCCATATTGTGGCTCAGAGGATACACAAAATGTCATATTACCAAGCACAAAAAACTCACCTGAAAGGGGAAAACAGGTCCTTCCCAACCAGGCTGACCCAACTGGGCAGCCCTACCTCTGCTGGAACAAACACCTGCAGTTGAGTTCCACCCCCCCGGAATCATCTCAGGCACATGGGTCCAGACTTACACAGTGTGTGCTGGAGATGATGACGGAGCTGGAGATGAAGCTCAGCCCATCGTTCATACTGACTTGAAGAGCTGCTTCCCTGGAAAGGAACCACAAGAACCAAGTCAGGCCAGCTACCCCCAACCCTCTGCTTGACACCATCCAGTGCAACCCAGGCTGCTGATGCTCAGAAGAGCCTCTTGTGCAGGTTAATTCCCACTGGTGGTGCACTTGCCCCTGTGCTCCAGTGCATAATTAATGCCAATTAACACAATGAGCACGAGATAATGTCAGCATTAAATCCATACAAGAGCAGCAGAACATAACAAAGTGACCCACACTCATCTTCCCACAGGCAAAGTAAATATCTGAGTGGCAAAAACATACATGCCAACTTCGCGCAGCACAGGTGCTGGGCACAGCAGGTAGGTGTCTTCCACCACAAAGGGCTTCTCATCTGGAAAAGAGAAATACTGGGATTTATTACCTGATCAGCAATCTGGCCCTTAAAGAGCAGGTTAAATAATGGTTTTCCTCACTCTTGGTATATAAACGAGGTTCAAACACTGTGGGGGTTGAAGAGCCGGGTCACTTATCTGAGCTGAAGGTACAGATAAGTACCTTCAGCTGAACACAGCTGAAGGTACAGAGCTTTTTGGAAGGTCAGGGGCCAGGATCACAGCCACTCTGTACAGGAGCCCATGGGGAGTTGCAGCAGGTTACATATAATTGCAAATATCAAAGTAAAGAAAATCGTGTATTATGGGAAAATTTGCACTTTTAGGCAGATGCATCTGAACTAAATTAAACCTGTCAGCCCAAATTATACTGTGGGTTTAAAAGTGGAGTGAGAAAAATTATCAACCCTGGGAAACAGGAACATTAACTAATATTCTTCTTCTGTAGACTTAAATCAGACAGATGGTGATCCCAAGGTAATCAGACAGATGGGGATCCCAAGGAACTTCCCAGCCCATTTGCCAGCTGACTAGAGATGGGGCAGATTGACAGAAAACCAGGCAGACAGGCTGGGTGGTGATTGTTTTTTGGACTGGAAACCAAAACATTCCACAGGAAGGATTGATTTGCTGGATCAGCATCTCCAGAAGCATGTCCTGCATCAGAAATCTTTCTACCAGCTGTACCCATGACCACCTTGAGGGCCTTCACAGGGATGCTTATAGACCTGAAATGAGCTGTTGCCAAATACTACCAGCTTCCTAACATTTTCCAGTTAAACATTTTATTCTGTTTGAAATCCCCTCTGCTCCTGACAGATTCCTTTCCCTTGGCCTCTCAAACTTGCAGGTTTCAAACCTCACCTTCAGTCTTATCTCTGTACCCTGAGGATGGATGGGACGTTCATTCTACGGGGCCACCGTGGAACAGGAGCACAATTCACCACCCCCTTGCTGAGCTATTCGACATCACAAACACAAACCCTGGCTCTCAGACCATCTAAAGTCTCTTCACAACTGCATCTTGCACTGAATTAATTCCCAGGGTGCTCAGAACACACAGGGGAGCAAGGTCAGTGCCCAGTGCCCCACTGGCAGCACCAGGAGAGGAGAGGAGCAAGGATGAAAGTTTAACCAAGACATTTAGCCATGGAATGAAGAGCTGAACTGTTCTGGCCAACTGGTCTTTTGCTTTTGAGGAAACTTGTGTAAGTTACGACTCCATTTCAGGTGCCAGTGGAAAGAGGAAAAGCCATGAGGAGATACAAGCCAAAGAGAACATGGCAAACTTCTCCAAAGCACTCTCTGCATCAGCTGTGAGCCTTGTTCCTCCTTCCCCTGGCTGCCAAGGTGAGTTTGTCCACATGGATGGTGTCTAATGCTGACCAGGGCACCAGCAGCAGAGCACTACTGACCCTGGCCCTGACCCCAGTGTCAGCTCAGGGGGTTCCCTCACAATCAGGGTCATGCAGCCCATTTTACTGCAATGAATGAGGCACAAAGAGGTACTGACTGCAACAGTCTGCCCCCTCATGCAGAAGCAGGACTCACCAAGCCAAGCATTCCTTCCCAGACATTCCTAGAAGAGGTTCCCACCAAATACAGAGTTTTAGAAAGCAGAAGTATTGCTCTGGTAACTCTTGTCACACATTAGAATCCCTATTTCATACTGGTGTATTTCTTGGCTTTGGCAGCAATATAAAAGGAGATTTCCTCAGGCAGGTTAGGAACTGTTTATTTTTTACACTCCATTAAAAAAAGAAAAAAAAATGGTAATGAAAAGTTGTAACCTTCCCTGATGTTCTCCAGCTTCCAGCAAATCCCATGCCTACACATACACACTTGAATTTCTGGGTTACCCACAGCAGTTATTTTGTCAGGGACTCTTTGACCCAGGCCAATAGCTGAACATGAAACATTTTGGGCAGACACATGGTTTCCACAGCCTGACTTTGGTTCTGCCTCATGGCTCGGAGCTTCTGGGATCCCTCTAGATCCCTGCTCCAGCTCTTGGCCTGGATAGTGCCATATTAGTGCTGTCTTCCCACAGCCTCAGTGCAAGAACGTGCAGGAATATTTCCAGTATGCTGAACATCAGGAGCAGCCGATTTTAGCACAGCCCCACACTCCAGGAGATGCTTCCTATCACAGGGCATGGCAGGCAGAACACAGGCATTTAAAGGGTGCAGGGCAGTAATCCCACCCCCCCCCCACACACTTCCCATCTCCTCCAGCCCAGCTCTGGGCTCGTGGGGACCTTGCAGCACATGCAGGCCCTGGGTTTGCAGTGTAGTTACCAAGCCAAGGCAGCAGCATTTCCCACTCCAGGCAGATGTGCAGTGGTGGTTCATCTGGCCCCACAGTGCTGTTCTCACCCTGATTTATGAAGATATCATTAACTCCCATAAATTTATGACATTGTCTCAGCACACACATGCCAAGAAAATGAAGACCAATGTCTTGTTTTCTCCTTTGCTAACTCTGGCAGCCAAGGCCAAAGACGTCCCTGTGCCAGCATTCACTAGAACAAAAGCTGCTTCATCTTGCAAGGCCTTTTACTTAGATCTCATTAGGTTTTTGTTTCTCTTTCTCTCCCTTCCCACCCCCAACTTGCATCAGTCCATGCCTCTCTAGAAAGTTTATCAGCCCCACAGTCCCATGAGGGAGCTCAAGGCTGGCCAGGCTGGCTACAGGGAGAGATTAGTTTGTTTGGAGAATGTTTGTGTTCCACCGCAAAAATGAGGGACTATTTTCCTTTGCTCTAAACAAAAGAAGATCCATTTGGTTTGCATAACTCTGGCCATCTGACTCCTTCCTGGAAAACTCACGTAGGGAAACCAAACAAAACAACACTTCTCGTCTGCCCTCGCATCGGATCTGCAGGATGCGTTTGGGAGAAGGACGCGGTTCGTGTCTGCTACGGAACAAACTCGCTGCATCCCAGAGCAGTGAGAGATGGGGCTGAGTGCTCCCAAACTCCAGAGCTCGTGCCAGAATGTGGATTTTGTGGTTTGGCCTGCTCTGCGCTGACAGTGCTGGTGGCAGGGCTGCGGAAGGGAGGGCGGAGCGCTCGACTCGATGTCGCTGAGTTTCCTGCCCAGGACGTCATTTCGGTTCTTGGCTTGGGGCTGCTCAGGGAATAGTGCAGGAATCACTCTGCCTCCTCTGACAGTTTTATGGAAGGGATGCCCAGGCCCTGCTCACCTCTCAGACACTGCAGGCAGAGCTTGGACATCTTCAGGAAACACTGCAATGCTGCACTTCTGAGAAAGGCTGCCCTCAGTAATGGCACAACCTGCTCCCTACCTGCGGCCCTCTAATCCCTCCTCCAGGCAAAATAAAGTTCTCACTGCATAAAACAGGACACAACAAACCCACAGACAACTCAGACCAGTCAGTCCTGAGGCCTGGGTCAAACCTCTCATAAACCACATCCATTTGCTGTGAATGCCTTTTCAACAAGATGCCTGATACTGCACAGATCCCTGTAACTCCCTACCCAGCACTCCTACACCTTTAACAACTATCTGTAGCCTATAAAATCTATTATTCCCAGCAACAGTGAATAGTTTCTTATGCCATTAGCAGAGTGTAACCTTTTGGCAAGCCAGGACTTGGAATACTTCCCAACCATAATGATAAAAGCCTCAATATAGGCATGATGCTCTAATACAGAAGAGAAACCTCAATGAAAGAGAGGTACAAGAACCCAAAGGTGACCAAACAGAGAGTAGCATTTTCTTTTAGCCATAAACCCAGGCCAAAATTAACAGCCTTCTCCTTAGTTAGTGGTTCACCCAAGACCCAACCGGTGCCCTGAAATCTGTCTGCAAGGATCCCTCCAGAGGGGTTTAGGAGAGCCCAGCATTTCCAAACTGCCACTGCAGTCTCACAAGCACTGATTGCTGGACTCGCAGCATCAGCAATATTTTAGTCCAGAAGAGGCTGCAAAAGCTGTTTGCCAAACTTCCCCTATATCACAAACTAACAATTTCCTTCTGCTGTCCCTGTATTTAGGATTTGCATTCAACTAAAGCACATCTCAGAAGATGCTTTGCCCCAGTTTCCTATTTCTGCAGGAGAGGAGACTTGTCTGTGAGACCAGTCCAGCCCAGGTGGGGTGGGACACTGGCTGCTCTCCCACAGACTCCCTGGGGAACTCCTGTGCTAGGAAGGCTGTTCTCTGTACCCCATTCCATGTGAGCTGACAGCCTGGAGTCACCTGAGCACTTCCATTGTCCCTTTGTCCCCTCAGATGAGCCAAAATACCTCCCTAATTCTCTGCCCCACTTACAGTCTCTTTTCCTCTTGGCTGAGTCCTCCTCTCATGCCACTCTTTGTGACAAGTCTGCAAGTAAAGTTTGTATTTCAAACTCATTTTGCGGGGAGCTGGGAATGCAGGAAGACACTGGAACACTCTCTGAGCTGGAGAAACTGCCTACAAGAGAGGCCCATAAATAAGAAATGTTTTGTTAATGCTGTAATGAAAACCACATTGAGATCAGGCTGTAATTGCTCTGCTTTGTGTAGGGACACATGAGCTCTGAATGCCAAAGCCATTGAGAGCAGAATTAGGGGATGGGGAACAGACAGATAAGCACAGAACAGTGATATCACATCCAGAACAGTCTCGAGATGGAGAGAAGGGATTTGGAAGGACTCACTTTTCCTCTGATGGGTTCACGTGCTGAGCAAACAACTGTTGGATGAGCAGTCACAGCCTTGAGGCTGCAAACAGACCCTGGCACAGCACCCAGCCTTCATCTGCTCCTGCTCACAACTGGCAGCTCAGGAGCAGCACGTGCTGCCCCACAGCAGGTCCCTCCCAGGGGAGTCCTGGCCTTCCTGCAGCAGCTCCAAGCCCAGAGCTGCCCCGTGAGCAGCTGGTGCCACAGTAAGAGACCCTCCTGGTCCCCCAGCAGCACACAGGGTCACTGGGTGAGCCTGGCAAAGCCCTCACACTGTCCACGGATTCTCCTCCCCTCTCAGCCCAAGTGTCCTGATGCCCTGGGCTTGTTCCTCCACACTCAGCCTGGGCAGCTGCAGGGAATTCTGCTGGAGGCAAAGGCACAGGACTCCTGGTTAAAGGTTCTGACACTGCAGTTTGTTGGAGGCTGGGAGAACATTTGAGGGAAGTGTGACCATTCCTTCTAGTTTTGTATTCTTTGCCAAACAGTGACTTGGGCCACCCCTCAAACCAGGATGCCAAGCTCCCCTTGGTGCATGTTCTCACCCAGGAAACATTAAAGGCATATGTTGTGTCCCTCATAAAGGTCACACTCCCCAAAACACCTGGTGGAGTTTGTACACAGTGATGGACATTCTCTGGTACCACAGTGGAAAGAGAAAAGCTACTGTTAGAAAATAAAAAGGAAAGGTTCAGAGGAGGGTTAAAGTGACATGATCAAGTGGGGAAATCAGGGATTAGAAAGTTGAACAGCAAAGCAAAACATTCCTGTGCTAAGAGTGATCAGGCTGCAAGAAAGTAAAGAAGATATCACAAAAAAGAAAGATGGGGAAAACGGAGCAATCTGAAAGGCTTTAAAAACAGAAGATAACTTTTAGAAGACATTTGTTGGGCAGTTTGGAGATACAGTTCCCCATACACCTCACTCTCTGTTGATACCTGGCACAGTCTGCTCTCAGTATCTGAAAAAAGAAAAATCAGGGCAGGTTGTGCAAAGGCTGGGGCTTGGCCAAGCATCCAGAGCATCCACTAGAACGCAGCACCTCTGCTGTGGTGTCTGCTGGTTCTTCACCAACCTTTCATCTCTCTATTCAGTTTTAAATTGCCCAGGACAGAGCTCACCTCCCTGCCCAGAACTGTCTTGGCTGGATCCTGCACAATCTGGGCAGACACAGACATTTTAGCACCACAGAGCAGTCATAAGTCACTGCACTGGATAATCACTTTTAACTCTGTGCAGGCTGAAACCAATTCTCCCAGGTCCTGCTGCTGGCAGGAACACCCTGCTGCTGAACATGCATCTGATTACAGTTCTGCTCAGCCAAATATTCCTCATGGCTTCTACAGATGTTCTTTTTTTTATCCCATAGCTATGAACATTATGAGTCGCTGCTCTCTTCACCTGCCACTTTTCTCTGCCAACAATCCCAATAAAACCCCATTAGCTCATGCCTTTAACCTCAGCACGTCCTAGCTGTGCTCACTACATCTCATCTGGGATAATTTAAGGTTTCAGGAACTGTTGGCTTAGTGTTATCTGTAAAAATACCTCCCTCCCTGATACCATCAGAGGCTGAGAGGCTTCAAGCAAACAAAGACAGCTGAGCTATCCAAGTTCCACGAGCTTTCCATACAGTCCTCACTCAGTTGACTCTCATGGTGGGCTGTTTGCAGTCGGATGCCCCAAGGAACAGCGCGTTGGGACTGCACATTTTGGGACTTCTCTCACAGAGCAACTTAAACCCAACAGAGCTGTGCCAATCCTACCTGGAGAGACCTGGGTTTGGGAGCACTGATGAGCAACTACTGAGTTCCCTCAGTCAGGGGGTGGGTGGAACTCAGAACTTGGGTTTGTGGCCACGTCACTGCTCCAAACAATCCGGGGCTGTGCAGGACACATGGAGAGGTCTTGGTGCAGTGCTGAGGACAGTGAGCTCACTTTTCACCTCTGCAGCAATTCAGGACACCAGGAATGCATCAGGGCACAGGGTAGGAAACATATCTGGCCTTTATCCTCATTTTCCACAGTCATTTTGTGGACACAGGAAGGCAGCTTCAAATAAAAAAAACTCAGGGGCTGCGTTAAGATAAGCTGATCTTTCCTGACAGCTCCTGTGAAATGATGATGACAGATACCACAAAAAACTCGTCCAGACAAGCAGTCAGCACAGAGGGAGTGAGGAAGGAGTCTCCCTCCTCCCCCCTCCCCTCAGGTCACAGTGCTGGGGGGTGAGGGAACCCTCACTCACAGTTCCTCCCATTGGCAGCACTGGATGTGTCTGTGAGTCCATAGACAGGGCACTGAACAGTGGAAAGCTGATGGATGACATTCCCAGTGAAGGCTTTAGGGTGTTTAAAGGAATGAATGCCTGGCTCCAGAGCCCTCCAGCTTCTGCTCTTCCCATGCTCAACACTCACCATATCTGACTCAAGCAAATGTGACCCACAGCCAGCCAAACTTTCTGCTTGGTGGCACAAGGGTGGGCAAGTCCAGAACCTGCCTACTAAGAGGAGTAAATGCAACAGCACAAAAGCCTTTCAGGACCAGCTACAAGCACTCACTGTCCTCCACCTGCCCTGAACGTTCCCTGGCATCCCAAACAGGGCAAGCAGCCTTGGCCAACTTCTCCTGCTCCAAGTAGCAAAGCACACTGATGCTCAGAGCACGAGCAAGTGCAGCACTGAGCCATTAGACTTCCAGATGTGAGAAACTAATTAACACATTATGCTGGAAAGGGTCAGGACTGCCTCCAGAACGATCAGCTTCTGCAGACATTCCATGCTAGGGAAGCTGAGTTCTGCTGTCACTGGTGCTGCCAGCTCTGAGCTTTCTGCTTTCCCACATGGCTCCAGACACACCAGGTGAGAGCAGAGGGGTCCTTAGTTCTGCCAGCTCAGTGCACTTCACAAAGAGACACTTGGGGGCTAATTTGCTTCTCTTGCTTCAGTTCTTCTGCTGGGGCAACTGTAGAGGGAACATTTTTCTGAGCTTCCACAGCAGCCCAGCAATGCCTGAGCCACTGCTCCAACACATTTCCAACAACCGTGTGCAGCTGAGCTGCAGGACCAGGCCCTCTGAGTGCCACAAAACACAGGTAAGGAGAGAAACACCCCTGATCTCCCTGCACACAGCCCAGCAAGACACGTATTGATGCTCTTTACAGACAAGATTCTTGCCTTCTATATTTCCATCCCCCTCAAGCTTCACATCCTTGCTGTCAGAGTCACAGCACACGAATTGCCACCAGCGATTTTCCTCTTAAAAAATAATCCCTTCTGCATTCTGCAAATTAAAAGCTCTGAGTCCCACAATTACTGCTTTCACAATCAAGATCCCAAATGTCCTGCCAGTGCAGAGTAGGAGAATAAAAGAAAAGAGAGCAGCTCACTGAGAGTGACGGTGTCATTGATCCTGAAGCTGCAGAGCACTCGGTCGACGTTGCGGGCGTGTCGGAATCCATTCCCTCTCACCACCACCTGGAAGGACTCTGCAGGAGAACAGGCATTGGACTTCATACAGAGCAAGGCAAGGAAAGGTCATTTAGACAAAGGCACATCTCCAAAGTTTTCACTTGCTATCTCCTGAGCTCGCAGTTGAACAACTTTTAAGTTTGAAAATGGTTAAAAATTGAACTTCCACTCTCTCCCTACCCAATTTCAGACTGAATTTTTAGAAACAGGAAACAATTCACTACAGAGGCATTTTAACAGACTTGCAGTGAAAACAGGAAGCTTTGGGGACATTGAGCTTTGCCCTCCCCAGGTGGCCTGTGCTAGGGAGAAAGTTTAAATGGCAGAAAGTTTTGGGTGAAGAAAGGCAGAAGTATCTTTCCATGGAAAGCAAAAAAATCTTCTAGTGCCCAATAATTTGGAGAAGTTTAAGTGTTACTTTCCCAAAATCATGTCAGTTGCCCTGAGTTTTGTCACGTCCTGCCCTACTGCTGTACAACCACCACGAGGCCTTGACTGGACTCATTTCCATACGATGACAGGGGATTTTATCAACAGATCAAGGTTTCAGTCTCTGGGCAAAGTCTGATCTTAGAGTCTGTGGGCATTTCCCCAAGTCTTCCTCTTTGCTGTTTTCCCAGACCAACGCCATAGGGTCTCCAGAGGCTGTGGGTGCCAGCAGGGAGCACCAAGGACAGTCACAAACTCCTGAGCCCTGAGCTGAGCGGTGCCTTTTGGAGCAGGCAGGGCTGAGCAATGAGATCACATCCTCACCAGCCCTTGAGACCACTCTCTACCATCCCTCGATATTCCAATTACTTCTGCCTAGGACTGGGAAAGGTTTATGGACTTCCCGCAGCCTCTAGCATGAAGAATGCCTTGCAAGGAAAGCACCACTTCAGACTCTCAGCTTTTGACTCGGGGCCACAGTCCCAGAGCAGTCCTGGCAGCAGATCCAGGGACTCAGCTCTGCTGCTCCCCAGGGCGAGAAAACAGCCCCCACAATTCCTGTGACTATCTGGGAGAGGCACTCAGCTAATCCCCACTGAAGTTTGGCTGGGGAATGTGATTTGAACACAAAATGTTTCACTGCCCAAGACAAGGCAGGAGTAACCTCAAGACAAGGCAGGAGTGACCTCAGTGCTCCAGGGACACCACCCCAGTTTAGAGTCCCCAGGAGCACCAAGGAACCGAGGTTTTGCAGGTTCAGATTTCTCCCCTTTGCATTTTACAGTCCCCATCTCCTTTCATCTCCCCCAAGGACCTGTGCACTGTACTTGTCAGAAAAAGCAGCTTTGCTCTGGAATCTGGGCTCTTTTCCAGGTCCCACTCGTTTACAGCCAAGTTGCAAATCATCCCAGCACATCCAGCCAGGGAAGCTGCTCACAGGCCCATTGTGTGTTGTCTGAGAGCATTTGGGAAGAATAGGGAGGGGGGACAAGAGCTCTGTTCTGGAGTGTGGGGGCTGGTGAATCCTTAAGAGAAATCACAGAAGTCTCAACTGCTGGGGAATGAGTTCAAGTACAGTCAAAGACCTGTATCAGTGATGTCAGCTGGGCCATGGAGACCCTGGCTCTGCTTCAGGCTGAAATGAACTGTACAGTTCAGCCTGCAAAGCCAAATCATCCAGAAACTGCCGTTCCAGAATGATGAAATTAATTCCTGCAGTTTCTGGGACTGGTCAGCAGCACAAGATGGCCTCAGGTAACACAGAGCCCACATGTTTCCTCCTTGCAAAAGGAAAAAAAATGAGGAAAAAACTGCCACCACTCTCCAAGGATGTGCACAGAAACACAAAAACACAAGGTATCACAGCTACACCTGCAAACATTTATTTTAAAGACACTAATGCACATAATTTTCATAGTCAATGGGACTTTCATTACTCTCAGAGCCCTGAGAGATTAAACTCCCTGCAGTCTGAGAGCAATGGACTATTTGCCCAAATTTGGAAACCAGGCCTTTGAACTGAGGATCTGAATAACTACAGGTATTTTTCAAGGATAACATTGCTTCTCTTGTGAAGTACTGGCCAATTTCTGATGTGAAGAGTTTATATGAAACCTCTCTGCATTTCCTCTCAGCTGACTCTGCTGGGTACAGCTGTGCCCACCCTGCCTTCCCTAAGGCACAAGGAATGGGAGTGATGAATCAACTGACAAAGCATTAAAGATGGTTATAAATGATTATTATAAGTCATCTTCTGGCTCATGACATTATATAAGCAGCAATGTTTATCACTTGAATAAGTATGTAAATATATTTTTAAAACAATCTCCAAGAGTGTAAAGTGGATGTGAATGTTCCTGCAATTTCATTTCCCTTCCCAAACATTTATGGAACATCACTGCACGCTCCAGATTCTGTCAAAGCAATCATCCACCGTGCCAAGGTAGACAGGGCCCTGCCTTGGAGCCTATTTTAACATAGAAACTATTTAATTGAACAGCCAAAATGATGCTTAAGTACCATAATTCATGGCAATGATGCCATCCTGGCTTCAAAAATCAAACCTATGTGGCACATATGGAACATAAACCTGATGCCAAGTACTTATTGGGCATTTAGCCTGGTGTGCATCTGCTGGGAAAATGTGGCTACTTCTGGATGTTCAGGTGTGCAGGCAGATGCAGGATCATTAAAGCAGCTGCTTTGGAAGTGAAGACAAATAAGTAACAACTGTGTTACTTACTGGGGCTGTCAATATATGGTAAAGAAAGATGCAGAACTTGTCAGGGACTTGTCCTTCTCCACAAACCTCAGCTGGGCTCCCAACCTCTCTACTCAGGGAGTGCTAGACACTCAACAAACAGCTGGGATGCACTTCATAAAATGTGAAGAATTCACAGAAGCAGATGGTAGAGGCCAAAATGATTCTCTAGCTTGCTTTGGAAAGACTGGGTCCTGCTGAATGAAGAGGCACTTGCAGGGCTTTAGAGCCACAGTCAGGTCAGAGCAAGGACAAAGAGAGGACAGGATGAACACATGAGCAGCAGACTGATGGTTACACTCTAGTCCTCAGTCACTGTATCGCCCTTGAATGCCTGAGAAATGTTCCAAGACTATTGGAAGCCTTCAGATCCAACTGTGCCCATCTGATGTTCTTCATAGTTTCTGAAGCACTTCCCTCACCAGTCCTCCAAGATGATGAATTTTGCAAAACTCTGAACCCAACCAAAGGCTTATTGCCTGATTTGGTTTGTAATTACGTAGCATAACTACTTTAAGTCTGGCACAGTCCAAGTAAGACAGACTGCTTTGACAGAAGAACATTTAGGGGAAAGTATGGAGTTCAGGTCTTTTCTGTAAGAAAATCCCACTTGACATAATTTGGTAGAAGTGGGAGCTGTGCAAACTATTCTAAGGTGAAAAAGAAATGAAACAAAAAAAACCAAAAAAAAGGCAAAATATTTAGCCCCAGGTAATCAGTGACTTGTGCACTTTCCAGCAATTAGAGATGGACTGAAAGCTGTATTTTAGGCAACATGAATGACTGTGGCCTCAGTTGTACTTACCCCCTGCACAAATACTGGAAGGCTCTGCTGCCAGGATTTCTATGCAGGATTTCTTCAAAATCTAAAAGACAGACAAAATGTCATGAAGTACCTCAGCTGGTACTGTAGCTGGTTGCTACAGAAACCCAGCTCTGAAAGCATGAGTGCTCTCATTCTCACATTAACGCTTAACTCAAGGGTGCACTTTGCATTCATGGCACAATCTCAGCTTTTCACCTAAACCAGCCAACCAGGTGACGTTGCTCCTCTTGAGCTGTTAGAAGGTGATGGATGCCAAGCTCTCCACCATCCCAGTGCAATCTTGCCCTAGTCCCCAGTACCAGTTATTCTGCACCTGCCACGGGTCCCTCTGAAGGGTTACGGAGGCACCGTCATCGCCCTCCCTTCGAGTCACACCTCCCTCTCCAAAGTTATTCTGGAGCCCAAGACTCCCAACAAAACAGCACAAGTGTAGGCTAAGCTGTTTAGCTCTGCATTAAAACATCCCACAGAGCCACTTCTCAGGTCTCAGCCACAGGGGTTACAACTTCTTTCGCTTTTAACCTGATTTATGAGAGCACACCTGGGGGTGTCCTCAAAGCTGCTTGTGACTTCAAATCAAATGCACAGCCAGTTGTTGTTTACTTCACCCAAACTCAAATGAAGCAGCATGTCTTTGGCACGGCTGTCTCTGCCTCTAACCACTGTATGTGTAGACAGTGATTTACACTTTGGGCCAGGCTTGGCCAAGCGCTCGAGGGCAGGAGGAGCCAGCTGAGCTGGACACTGGTTATTCCCACATGGTGCTGAAACTGCCCCAGCTGTTATTTGAGGTCTTTGCCCTGCTCTGAAAACCAAGTCCAACTCTTCAGTGCCCAGCAAAGCCGTGCCAGTGCCTGTGACCCCTGAGAGAGCAGGACCAAGAACTGCTGAACGGGGGTTCAGCTGAGCAGCCCCTGACTGAGGCAACACTGATCAAAATTCAGGTCGGCTCCAAGAGGCAAGGAAATGTCAGCCAAGCATCATGACTCAAATTCAACATGAAAACTATTTTCCCAACTTTAAACTGAAACATCTGTAAGGAAAGAACAGCAACCAATACAATAAATTCTGTAAGAAAAAGATAACATTTTTTTTTCTCCACAATCACGGCTCGCTGCCTCAAATACCTGATTGCAAAAGGTACCCAGAGAGCCAGCATTTATTTTTTAGAAGTTTTAAGGAGAAGATTGAATTACTCAGAAGCATGGCTGGTAGAGACTGAGAGCACCAAGGGACTGAAGGAGGCAGGACTGCCTGAGCTGGTGGCAGGTGAGGAGAGGGAAGCTTTGCAGGAACAAGGTTATACAGGAACTGTCAAGTGGAGAAACAGAGAAAGTCAACACTTGAGAACAGAGCTGAGAAGCAGTAGAAGAATCTGAAAGACAGAATAAGGAGAAACATGAAGAATGTAAAATACAATCAATACTTTTTTAAATAAAATCAAACCTCACAGGATTAAGTTTGAGATTCAGGACTTCTACTCAGCAAACATTTTGTAAACATTCTAGCTTGGATGGGGGTGGAATAGCAGGTGTCTCAATTAGATGATCCAGATCTCCCAGTTCAGTCCAATCCTTTTACACAACCATAAAAAACTGGCCCTAATGGCTTTTTACAGTGCCAACTGCAATATTTATTTTGATTTAGATTAAGTTTCCAATGCTCCAAGCACCCACCCTAACTTAAAGTGAAAATCAGGCAGCAATAACTATTGCAAAAGAATTCCTTTATGTCTCTTCCTTGTTAAAAAATACATTCAAAAAAGACTTCAGTGCCTTCACTGTAGAGGATTTCATCAGGTCTCTTATTTTCTGAGGGGTGCACAGCCCTGGGGGCTGGAGGTGCAGCTCATCCCCCGTGTGGTCTGGGGCCCCAGGGAAGCAAATCTCATGGAAGAGTGGTGATGGAATCTCCCAGGTCCATAAACCACCCCGAGGGCAGACTGGGAGAACTGACTCCACATCCCCACTTTCACAGGAACAACCACCACAGCTCTGGGGGACGTGGGGAGTCCCTGCAGGGCTCAGGCAGCTCTGCCCTGGCACCCACCCAGGGAAGTGTTTGGAGCAGTGCTCACTCCTGGTGAGGACACATCCTGTTGTCTCCTGCAGCACAGCTCAGAGACCCAGCTCAGACTCCCAGATGAGGCTGCTCCTTTGCTCCATGGGGCTCCAGTGATCTCCAGGCTCTGGGACAGGCTCCTGTCCATATTTGCTGACATGCCAGAGGAATAACGCAGCACATCCCTGTGGGAGCCTGGCTTTGTGTGCCCCAGGGAGCTCTGACAGGGCAGAACTGATTTTAGCACTACCTGTGACTAACTGACCTTTCTGCCAGGGGAGGCATCAAGGGCCAGGGGAAGCCCAGCAGGTCACCTGGACCCCTGGAAACAGAGGGAAAACAGGGAATGAGATTTTGCAGCTGCTGGAAGCTTTGCCTTGGTGTTCTGCTCCACAAACACACAGACAGATTATTTCACCACAGAAGTTTCTTATACAGTTTTTTCACCAAATTTGGGAATTCTCATTAGCAAACAGGATGCTGAAGTGTAATAGAAGGTTACTGCCTAATTATCATTAGTGGGAATGACCTGCAGTCTAAGGCCAGGTACTCATTAGCAGGCTCTGTTCAATTACTGAATACCAAGGTCTGTTGCCAATTATAAAACAGCCATTTATTTATGAAGTGTTTCCTGTCCAATAATATCTACATGAGCTAAGTAAAATAAATACATTTAAGTCTTTTTTAAAGATGCATTTGGGGGAAGAAAGAAGTAGAAAGCATGACTATATACCATTAAAACTAATGAGAAGCACTGTGCAGTGGAGACTGGGGGTTCACATCCTCTCGCTGGGATGGGTAAGCCAAGAGGCTCCAGTTGTTAACTTGCTCTTTGGCCTGTGCAGAAAGTCTGGCTGTGATAGAAGACAGATTCAGAGTATCTTGCAAAGGAATTAACTTTTTCTCGTCTCTCTCCCCCATTCAGGGGGTCTCAGCCCTCTCCCTGCACCAGGGAATCTACAGTTTATCCCTCTGCCAGTGAAGTTTGAGCAGCCAGCTCAGGATGGGCACACAAAACCATCACCACACCTCTCACCCTTTGCCTATTAGATGCTCACACTGAGTTGTCACCGAAGTTCCCCCCCCGCACATATCCAGCACTGCAGTTTGTCCCAGGAAACACCAGGATTCAGGGACAGTGTATTCCCAGCTCTGATTTCCTGGGGTGAAGGAGCACATTGACCTGTCACATCAGTTCTGAACTGCCACAGCAATTCCAAGAGCTGAGACAAGTCCTGAAAAATATCAAGGGTAGGTGGTATATCCTCTGCAAGAGGGTCCTAAGGGAGTACACAGGGAATTAAGCTTAAAAGGATGAATCATTTGTACAATTTATACAGACAGGGGACAGTCCCACAAAGTGGTTCATACTTCTTCCTTTCTAATCCATCACAACTGGTCCACAACAGCTCACTCGGGCTCCTTGCTAAGGGACCCAGGATTCCATCTCTGAGGTAAATTCCAGGCTGCTGCCATGGTTTAACACATGCCAAGGATCAGGGAGTTTTTCTGACTGCTCCTCAGTCAGCTTCTGTTACAGGCTCAAAGCAAAGCCATGACAGGATCCCATCCTGACTTTCATGTTGCTTCATGCTCATTGCCTCCAGCACTCCTACCAGACACACACTGAGCAGTCACTGAAGCTGTTTCAGGTTTTCCTTCAAAGATTTGCTCCATTTGCTTTAAATTGACAGGTTATGATTTGCACAAATTTTTCACAGTAAAGGAAAATTTAGTAAATTACTTCAGCTCCTTCCCTGAGACCCCCAGCCTGCAGCAATCAGTCAGTCTGCTTCTCCACCAGCTTGTTCTCTCCTGACAAACTCAAAATCCCCATTACACAGGGGGAAGCTGAAGTTTAAGCAGTGGCTTTTTCACAATGAGGAAGACAAAGCAATTCGTTTGCTTAATAAAAAAGTCAGATTGGAACTCACAGGAGAGAAAGGACCAAACTCCACAGTGCACTGAACACCTTTAGCTCCCACTTTAAGGATCATGTTTTTAAGCACAGCTTCAGTGTGGGACTGGATTTTCACCTCAGTTAAGCACAGTCTCCAGAGGGGAGCCATAACTTGGTGGTGCCTGGAGGAGACAGGACCACACTGAGCACATCTCCCTGCAGCTGCTCCCTCCAAACTCCCTGGCTCTCACAAAAAAGGAAGGGCAGGTGCATGGAAACATCTGCAGCCTCACCACCCTGAACATCTTTGCTCAGCAGATTGAGAGGCCCAGCTGAGGCCTGTCTTGAGCTCCACCACTCCCAGCTCCCACCCTCTGCCTCATCCCAGGGGGACTTCAAATTCCCAGAATCACAGAAAATTTTGAGTGGGAAGGGAGCCCACAAGGATCATCAAGTCCAGCTCTAAGTGAATGGCCCGTGCAGGGGTTGAGCCCACAGGCCTGGAGTTATTAGCAACAGGTATTAGCACCAGGCTCTGACCATCTGAGCTGGTCTCCAGCACCTCTGCACATGCAGAGGGTTGGGAAAGCCCTGCTCCTGAGGACAGGGGAGGAGGGAACAGTCCTGGCAGTCACACCAAAGCCCTGCAGTGTAAAACCAACCCTCTAGAGTTAATTCAAGCACTAATCCCCGCAGGCTCATCATTTGATCTTTGCCCCCCCAAGATAACCAGCAGGTTGTAGCTTAATCAATCCCCTCCACAGTGGCTGAGCATCCTTGCTGTGCCAACTCTTACACAGGAACTGAAAGAAGCTTCCAAATCCCAGGGCCCTTTCACTGTTAACATCTTTCCCATGACCACAAATGCTTTGTTTGCTCCAACACAGGGATGCTTTTGGCAAGGACAAGAAAAGAAGGAGTGAAGGACCTTATTTTCCAGCTAGAACAGGAATCTACAGATTGTTTATGTTATTCTACAGTGTGATTAATGTCCTCCCTGTCATTCCTTTCACACACAAACCCACTTCCCTTCTCCCCAGCCTACTGCAGAGGCTCTACTCAAATCCAAGTGATCAGGTCATGGATTCATTACTGTACAATTGCACTTCCCTGTGACCCTCCTTCCCAGGGCTGGGAAATCTTGCACCAGTCAGCTCAGCTGAGGCAGTTTTTGATTGGGTTCCTGAAGGCTGTTCCGTATAACTGGGAAGGGAGTCAGAACTGCTGCTGGAATTCATTAAAAACAGCTGCAAATGGAATGCAGGGCGAGCAAAGCAGTTCTTCTTGTTTTGTTGCTTTCTGAAGTGACAAGCAACACCTGACTGTCCGAGAGAGCTGGGGCACTGCTCAGACAGTGCCAGGAAAACCAGTAAGCAAGGGATTGTATTCCATCTCCATGTGAGAGCACCAGGGAGAACTGAGCCTGTGCTGAGGGAATGGTTTTGGTTGGTATGACACTGTCAAAATAGTGTGTAACCACTGTAAACAGAGAAATGTGAGACCCCCCCCGTGTGCCCCCCTCCCCAGCTCCACATCGGACCTTTAGCTGGGTTTTATCAGCTCTTCCAAAATGAAGAACACACATGTCCTTATACAGATCCTTTGTAGCCATGGGAAGCACCCTAATTAGCCCAGCCACTCAAAATGGGCCAGCTCTTCAATGCTCCACCCAGTTCCCGCAGGGAATGCCAGGAATTGGGAATAGGGAAACCTCGATCTGGGGAGGAGAAGACCAGCCCATCTGCCAGGAGGCTGAATGCAGAAAGCAGAGGCTTGGGGATTTCGGCCTACAGAGCAGGATCCCTTCCCCCATTCCAGCAGGGAGCAGTGCAGCACATCCCCTGGAACGGGACAGATGGAGATCCGAGAGTGCCCTGACCCCTGGCACAGGATGAGCTCCAACACAGCCCTGCTGTCCCTGCCTGGGGCAGCCACGTCACAGACTGTCACCATGTGCCTCTTCCTTCACTCAGTTCCTTCCCACCAAGGAGGGAGACAGACAAAGGTCATCTTTGGGCTAAAAGTTGATAAACTTGACCTCGAAGTAGCGATTTTAGTACAAACAAAGGTCAGTTCTTTGGACCAAATGATTAAGTGATTTTTCAAGCAGGTCCTTGTGAACACAGGAAAACCAAACTGCAAACACATGATTAAAAGTACTTACAGAGTCTATGATCCCCTGAAGGGCTTCAAACCCATCGTTCACTGGGAAGACATGATCTTTGCTGTCGGCAATCCGAGCCAGCTGACAGAGCAGGGAAAGGAAATAAAACAGAAATGCAAAGAATGACATAAATTAGCCAGCAGGCAGCAAATTAAGACTTCTCCAGACTCATCCACTTGCAGATAAAACCCTCAAATGCTCAAGTACTCTGTGTGGATTGCCAGTGTATTATGGTTTATTAAGCAGTGAAAAGTTAATCTCTTTAGCCTGATTGATTTTAGAAAGGATCAGAAAAGGGCTTTTAACTTTGAAAGCAAGACTTCACGTGGCTTTCAGTGGTGCCCAGAGCCTTTAGTGCAAAAGCTGTCTCCTACATGATTGTAAACCACCCCACTCAGTAACTCCCCAGCCAAAACAGGCCACAGCATCAACACAGGCAGCAAAACACTTGGACACATTTAAACCAGGGAAGTAACCAAAATGATTCAGTATTTTCACATGTAGAGAAGGCTAACAAAAATGTGTTCTGTCAAAGGTTGGACTTGATCTTGGAGGACTTTTGCAACCTTCAAGATGCTGTGATTTTATGAAATTATACCCCAGCTGGAGATACAGCCCTGACTCACCTTCCCTGTCAGGGCAGAGGTTTGACTATTAGTCCTACACTCAAACATTAAAGAGCCAAAAAGAAGAAAGCAGGGACCTCTCAGGAGATATTTACCAAGTGGAGGTTAAAAGCTATCAGGGGAGCATCCAGAAACCTCCATGACAAGGAAGAGGGACCTTCATGAGGTGGTGGTAAGGTAAGGGGAACCAGGACAACACCTGGAAAGAGCTTCATGCAGGTCCAGCTGCCAGTGGCAGACTAAGGGTTAAGCCCAAAATCTCAGCCCAACTCAGCAGTAATGAGCTCTCCATGCATCTGCTGGAGCAGACTCAAGTTTTACTGCTGCAAGGCCAACCTTTGTTCCAGTAATTCTCTCCCCTGGCAGAGGTAACCCAGCCCAGAAGGCCTCTCTGGATTTTCCTGTAGCACTGCAAGCTGGAGGCAGCAGAGCAGCCACACATTCCTCCCTAAACCCCACGGGCTCCACCTTTCCAGCTCCTGTCACTCACAACTCCCATTTCCCCAGCTGCCAACCTCCTGGTTTGCATCCAGAGAAATATTCCAGGCAACTTTCCCCTGCCTGCTCCAAGAAGGGCAGAAAAGCAGCTCATTCCTTGTTGGCAGAGCTGCAGAAGCCTCTGTAAACCAGGATGTTTACAGTTTCCTCAACTCACTCCCCATGTCCTCCTCCTGGTCCATTCTGGGACTTCAGACACAGTCATCTAATTCCAATTAATTTCTTCAGCATTTAAATGCCTTCAAGTAGCAGCTGTCTGGGGCCTGTTGCTTTAGATCCGGTCTCTTTGGCATCTTTATTTCCTCTTTGCTTTTTCTATGACTTACTCTGGGTTGCACCAGTCTCTGGGTTTGGTTTGAAGGAGACTGTTCTAAACCAAGTTTGGTTTGACTCCTTTTTTGAAAGATGAAAACCTAGAAAAAGTCTTTCAGCCTCTACTTTGGGGCTGTGCAAGTGTTTCGCTCATGTCAGAAAAATGTCAGTTGTTAGTGTGTGAAATATAATTCATGGGCATATGACAAATTTAGAAGTCAGACTATCAAAGGGGAAAACAGTGTGAATTATTACTGTCACTAATGAAGGTGTTTGTTTTTGACAGCACAGTTTTCCCCTAAAGAAAACCCTGGATTGAAACTGAGGAGTTCTATGGCAATATTTGTGTGGGGAAAAGATGTCCAACAGCCTGCTCCTCAGGCCAGACAATGTGCTCTTCTTCAGGTGTCTTTTCCTCTGCTTTTCTGCACCGTTACCAAGAGTATCTGGGCAGGCAGAGGGGCAGCTCTCCACAGCTGGAGACTTAGACAAGGACTTAAACCCAACACCAGACCCACCACTTCAGGTGGGCACTTCGTATCGTCAAACAGTCGACAGAAGGAGAGGAAAACCACTTGGGAACCTTGAGAAGGGGATTCAGGAGTATGTACCCATGTTCAACCTGCACCTCTGCCAAGCACCTCAGACAATGCAGGAGCCTTCTTTACCTGGGTCTCGTTGAAGTCCTTCACACCCACACAATACACTGTCGCTCCCAGGTCACGCGACCGATTCGCCTGGAACGAGGAAAGGCAGGATGACACGGAAGCAAACGGGATGGGATGCAGGTTTCTGAAAGGTCTTAATCATAAATTTAGTCTTCCTCTGCCTAATGAGCAGGGAGGGCTTGTCAAAGGAGAGTTTTAAAAGCTTTCCTCCCTGACTCTGTAAATTCGGTTTTTATCTGTTTCTAGAGTAGCTACTGTTTAGTAAAGCAAATCCCAAGGTATTTGGTGGTTTTTTTAAACCTAGTTAGTTCACCTCTTGAGTGACTTCAGCTTCCCAAAAGATGTCAGACAGACTGAATCAATTTTCTTTGCATCATTTAGGGCACATCCCAGTACAACAGTAACCTAAAATGCTTTGGTGTTTTCTGTTTCAGAGGTGTGCCTGGACTTATGATACATGTAGGCGAGAGACATTTCATTCCATCTGCTACAAAACTGTATCACTCCCATTGCTTACACAGCATCCTAAACTAAAGGGGGGACATGCACAGGTTTGATTTTTCCAGGCTATTTCATTGAAGATGAAGTTGCATTTACTATACAAAAGGCAAATGCTCCGAATGCATAAGTACAATTTAAGTCATTAGAACGAGAACACCTGACCTGACCAAAACCCCTTCCCAGAACAGATGGCAGCAAGTCAGACTGTATCAGAAGACTGTAGCAATTCAAGTTGTTCCACAGCGAAGCGCTTCAGCAGAAAAGCCTCATTCCAGTTTCACACTGGGGAGCTTCAGCCCAAACAACTGCAGCAGCTCCCAGAGTAGGAGCCGAGTTCAGGATCTCCTCCTACCAGCTCTTAACTGCTCCTCCCCAAACCAAAACAAATGGAACACTTCTGACCTTTCAACTTGTTCATTCACCTCTAAAAACAAACTTGCTTTTCTTGTGGGTATTTTATTTCAGAAGGGAAGAAAAGGAGATGAAGAGCAAGGAGGGGAACTGCAGATCCAGGACATTTGTTTGTGCTGTAGCAGTATTGGTTTTACTCTACAAAACCTTTCCTTTTGTTGTTGTTGGATTTAAAGCTGCGCTTTGGACAGACTGAGAGGAAAAAATCTGTCCATAACAAATTCATGCAAAAATACCATCTTCCAAGTTTAGGTCATCCTAATTTGCTTGACTGACAAGTGCAAATTGGTTCATCTCTTCAGAGAGGACTGTCCAAAGGGCAGCAAAGCTTTAAATGCTCACCCTACTGTTTAGCTAACATCTTGCATAGTTCACTAATTTAATGAGGATGCTGAGAATATGTGTTTGAACCGTGGAAATATTTGTGGAAATTTTGGATTTGATCATCTGTGAGGTTTCCTGATGTCACAGAAGTTTATAGGAACAACAACCATCCTCCTTCTGCAGCCTTTACTTTTTGTGAGAGAAGAAAAGTGAAAGTGAGAAGATCCAGGTATTTCCCAGAGCAATCCAGTCAATACTGAAACTTCTCAGCTGTGAACTACTCCTTCCTCCAGTGTTTATTTTTAACTGGAAGTTCAAAGCCCTCTCCTTTCCCATGAACAGTCTCAGCTGTGATGAGTCAGAAGCTGCTGTTAATGGTTATCCTTAAGATTCATGTCTAAAGAGCACGAAGTGGAGTTTTTTCACAAGGGAAAAAGCTTTTCCTTATCTTTTGCCTTCAAAGCAGCAGGCCCAGACGTCTCCCTGTCTCCCTGACTGAAAATGTGTGAGACACTCACCTCCCTCTCAGAGTAGAAAAACAGGTCCTCGTGGAGCTCTCCGTCCGTCAGAGCAATGATGACACTGGCGGTTCTGTAACCTGAACACACAAACTCCTTCAGGCCCTTGGTTTCATTGTGTTTGCTAAACCACCCTAGAAAACATCCTGATGCCTCTCAGCACACCCAAAGGGCCAGAAACAGCAACTGTCAAGCTCATGGCCTCCCTCCCTCCAGCCAACCAGCTTTCAGGAGACATAAATTTCTCCACAGTTTTTCACTCAGGCACCTGCCTTCAATCCCAGTTTTATATCCCACCCTTTTGATGTGCCAATGGTTTCAATTGACAGCCCCTCAATATTTCAGTGTTTCAGACCAGTAGATTAGGCTGCAGCCATCAAAAAAACCCAATGCGATTTGTTCCTATTTAGTTCCTGATTTTATTAATTATATTAATATATATGTTGTAAAAAATAATTTTATTAATTTTATCAATTCAAGAAATCCACAGGGGTTTTTTCCAGCTTGTAATAAAAAGCTCAATTGGGATCTAAACAGAGATAGTAGGAAATGACCTAAAATCTTCAACATTTCAGCAATACCATTAAACCTTGTAATCATCCCTTCCAAACAGGCAACTTCTTCAAGTGCTGCAGAACAGACATCTGACACCTAAAATTTCTTAGTGCTATTTAGAAATCCCCGATTTTCAACAATGTGGTAATGATGCAACAAGGAAGTCAAGCAATGAGCAACATGTGGGGTTATTCCCCTTGAAGATCCCAAACTCAGGTGCTCAGGCTTCTTCTGTAGGACATGGAAAAAACTGAACATTTCTGGTAGAGATTCAGGAGCGCAAACGACCTCCAGAGATGCCTTTCTCCCTCCACTGACTATGGCAGGAGCCTTTGGACCTCCTGCAGGTGGGATAAACCCTCCTTGGAGTGGAGCAAGGACAAGCACAGAGCTGTTAAAACACACAGCCCAACATTCAGGCTGGACCCAGCTGTCCAGTGCTTCGTGCACGTGGTGGGAACAGCTTACATGTGATACATACACCAGCATGCAACAGCATCATCAATCCCAAACTGAGCTGTTCCAGCTATTCCATTTTCCTGCAGGCATATTTTACAGGTGAGTCCCAAAGCTGTGTGGACTTAACCACGACTTTCTCTTACTCGTGATTAGCCCTGTGAGACCATTAGGCCTGGCTTTGTACTCAAACATCTGGTTGTCTGTCTTTTGGTTTCTGAAGCAATATTTATATTCATACTTCAGGCTTTGCAGTGCAGAAAGATTTTACATTAATTACAGGGAAGGACAAACATTTTTGCAATTGTCTGCAATTACTGATGGTTTTAATAATTGCTTATTAAAAAATCTTTTATTTAACTCCACATTCTTATGTTTGAGAAGGAAGAAGAAATGGCTGTCTGAGTCCTCAAACAAAAGGAACAAAGACAGTTTTGGTAAGAGTGGGCAGTTCAGCCAGGCTGGCTTCTCACTTTTGGCCTGAAACACTTTCATTCCAGCTCTGGCTCCTTAGAGCTCCACCAGTTCTTTGTCCCTTTCAGGAACACTACACTGACCAGCACTGCACTCCTGTAAGAGCAGCAGCCTTACACCACCCTTCCCATAGTGAAGCTGCATTTCAAATCTGTTAAAGTTATGTCAAAAACAGAAAAAAAACATTCAATGGATCAGGAAAAGTCTCTCACCATGAACATTTTCATAGTAAATCTGCTCACTTGCCTGAAATTAAATCAGAAGATTATTAGTAATAAATCAATAATAATACTTTGTGGGCATCTACTCATGCACCAGAAAGAAAGGGAAGATGGTAGTGAGGACTTGCAGTTCACACATGACCTCTGCTCTCAGACATCTGAACCCTTCCCAGAACAGGGCTCTTGCCTGTGGGTTTGACTGGGTTACTTCAAGGTCTTATCAAAGCACAGCTCAGTCAAACCAACCCTAAGACCAACACTAACATTGTCTCCCACTGTTCTGCTCTCTGAAAATCCCATTCACCTTCCTCCCTGAGAAACATCCCAGGCCCAATAATAATATTCCCCAGCACCTCCAGATCAATGACTCCAATTGCAAACAAACCCAAGTCTCTGTCAGGTCACCTGAATTTCTGCTGTGTGCTCACATTTCAATGTGAACAATGACAGTTCAGCATTTTCAACAGTCAGACGATTCAAAGTCCTCCCAAATACATGTGTAGGACAGAAGTAGGAGGGAGTGCAGGAGTTCAGGTTTAGAGAGACTCCTGAGCTTGTAAAATATATTAAAAAACCCATCCAGAAGAAGGTCAGAGCAAGCAATAACATCTGCACAGCATTATTTGGCCACCAGTGAGAACAGGTTGGAGCCACGGCCTCAGCCCCCACCCAACTCTAACAGGGCTACTCTAGGCAGGATTGACAGCTTCCCATCCTTCAGGAACACGTGGGATTACAATGCCAAAGCCTTCTGCTGTGTCCTAAACTGAAAAGGCAGCTCCCTCCTGAAAGATGAAGGCAAAAATAAAGGTAACTGGTGGAGTTTGCATCTCCTGTGTCCCAGCTCCAGCACTGCCCACTCACACCTCACTGTACCTGTGGCCTTGTCCCACTCACCCACCAGGGAGTTATTGGCCATATTCCTCTCGTTACATTTCCCAAGGGGCAGCAGACACAGTTTGAGGCACCACAGCCTGCACTTAGTTACCCTTTCAAATCCCTCGTGCATGTACGTGTCTCCACCCGGCAGCACCTTCTGCAGCTCCTCCAGGCCCTGGCGAATCTGCTCCCTGAAAGGAATGCAGACACTGTCAGATCCAAGATCCAGCTCCTGGGGAGCTGATATCCAGGAGAGGACATGCATGGCAGAGCCAAATACAGAGGGGGGGAAAAGGAGTTAACCCAATGTTTACATAGGCCAAGTCTGGGTAGATACCTCTCCAAGGATGTGGGAAACAGAGCAGTTGTGCTCCCACTGTTCCCACAGCCTGGGGAAAGCCTCACAGAAGCAGCATCTCCTCAATATCCAAACATTTCATACATTTCTTCCTAAATAAATGCTCCCTGGTCAAACTCAGCAGCCGACTCACCTGGCTCACTTTCCTCACTGTGTTTGCTGACTTGACTAAACAAACATAATCAAACAGCCCAGTTTATTTGGCCATTACACCTTCAGTTCCTGTTCAAACTGACTCGAAGATTGAAGCCTTTCCCAATGGCTCATTATGACTCAGGGGATCTGTTTGAATTCTTTTCAGGAATCCCAGGCACGGTGAGATCAGCTGCAGGGTACCCAGGGCAGACAGTCATCTGCTGTTCCTCTGAGTGGCAGACACCAAACTCTGGGAGCCAAGCGCAGGCCAGAAGTCTTTAATACAAGATAACACCCTGCAGTGTGTGGGGTGTATCTCAGCAAACTCCACAATCTTCATGGGAAAGGGATGAAGTCACTGCAGGCAGGACCACATGGACATGCCAGAAGTCAGTTTGGTCCCTGCATTTTTTAACTACTTCAGAAACCCCAGACTGTGTGGTCACACACACTGGAGATCCGTGGTAAGGCTGATTGCAGCAGGGCATTAACACTGTTCAGTCAGCACAGCAGTGACTCCCCCAGGGAGAAAAAAAAAGACTGTCTGCTTTTGCAACAGGCTGAATTGTCAAACTTTTGAGAACTCATTCTGTACCTGTGATTCCCAAACCAGTTAGACACTAGTTAGACACTGCTATAGGTGGACTAGTGGCAGAGATTTCCTCCTCTCAGCTACCCATGCACATACCAAGCCAAAGCTGAATATAAAATGGAGCATTTCCTGTGATCACCATTTTTCAAAGGTGAACTGACATTTCAAATCCACAGCACAGGTGTTTAGAATACGCCAATCCAGTCCCATCAGATGCACAGACTTTTTCCAAAAAGGGATGCTCAGAACCCTCAGTCTTCACATTCAGAGGCTGATACACCACACAGAGGCACAGACAAGGCAGAGGAGGTTTTCCCACCACTCCACCTTCCCCATTTAGAAAGGCCAGTGGGAACTAAAGGACCAACACCTTGTTTGTCTGTCCCCCAATAAAAAGCAGCAGCTCTGCAGTCAGCTGGCTTTTAGACTAATACCATATCAATATCCTGTTCCCAGTCAACATTTTCAGGGCAGCTGGATAAATATGGAATACATTTCCACATGGGGAACACTTCAGTCTCTTAGTTCAGAGCCTTAGCAGATGAGGTATCTCTGCAGTGGGGTGTGTTCAGAGGGTGGGACACAGCAAGGGGTAGGGAATAGGTTTACTGCTGGCACCCAGTTAAATATGGTTTATTCTCTTTATCCTTATTGTTGCAGTAAGTGGCAAGGAAGGGCTGCTTAGGCTGGCTGGGGTTAATGGCATTTGTAAGGCTGGGGTATATGTGGACTGCTCTGTAGGAAGGCAGCCAGTTTCCTCCCTGTTCCTCCATGGGAGCTGCTCTGGTATGTGATTTCAGACATCCAATATGTAAAACACATGCTGACTTATACACCCTACACATGTGTTACATATATTTCTGCTCCACGTGGCAATGAAGTTAACAGAGGAAGCGAGAGCGATTTAAGGACCTCGTCCAACTCTCCTTGAAGTCAGAGTAAAATAAAAAACTCCATCCCACAGATTTTACTGGGATTAACTTGGGAATCTACAAAGGAGTGACAGGAACACGCTTCAGAAACATGGCAATCAAACTGCCATTGCCAAAAAATACAGCCCCTTGCAATCCATCTCAAACACTGTTTGTCTGTAATATCCCTTCAGACCTCTGAGGAAATCACATTCCCCTCCACCTCAAGAGTGTGGGAGTCACCTCTGGCTTTCAAGTCTGTTTTTATGGGAAGGGAGTTTCACCTATTTGTTTGCAGAAGAAACTCCCAAAGGATGTTTCACAGGCAACAAGCCTCTTGTTCTCCAACAAAAGCCTGAGTCTCTGTGGAATGCAGCTTCCTCAATGAAACCAGTCTGAGCTAAAACCCCAATAGCTGACAGAAAAGACATTTAAAATTTAAGAAGCCAACCTCTGCCTTGAGAGCCCTTAATGTATTCTAGGATATGAAAATGGGCAGGTGGTTCAAACAATTAAATTGAGAATCACAAAGGTGTCACAACTCTGTTCACAGTGGACTGGGAATCGTTGAGCAAGGAAGGTGAAGGGACACAAAAGGTGCTGTGCACCTTTAAACCTCTTCTTACCTGTCTTCTGTTAACCTCATTAGAATTGTCCCTCTAGTTGAAAAAACAATGAAGGACATCCTCAGCTGAGGGCTGGAGGAGAGAAAAGAGGTACATTAATTTTCTGGTGCAGAGGTTCCTGTGTGTGTAACCCCAACCACACAGGACACTCTGCTCTCTCAGTTATAACTAACAGGGGCAAAGACAGGAGGAGGCAGCAGAAGGTGCTTTTCCCTGGGCCTTCCCAGTCAAGACAAACCATCCCTGTAAAGAGCACTTGCATTACAACCTTGGGATTGCTGAAGCAAGAAAGGCTTAAATGCATCCTGGAATCATCACGGAGATGAGGGAAGGCTAATTGTGTTTATCATAACACATTCCATATCCTGAGGGATTCTCCATGCAGTCTCAAGTCATTCAGAGCCTGAAAGCTACAGCCACAGGCCCCTCCCTGCAGACCCAAACCTGTGTGCCTCAGGAGCACCTCAAACAGGACTCCTTCCCCACAAGGGTAAGACTCGATCTAGGCAGGCAGGAATAGAGGGAACAATCAGCTTATCTCCTCCTATTTCCCACGTGACAGAAATCTGGGGAAAAGCAGCCATTGGGATGACTTGAGGAAAGCACTAAGAACCCTCCCTCCACCCCCAGTGGAAAGCAGCTCAGCTGAACTGGGAGCCACTGGTCCCCGCTGCCCACCCCGGCCCTGCAGCACTTCTCACCTGATGAACTTGCGGGCCAAGTGCTCCACGAAGTGATAGATCTCATTCCAGTGGTGCAGGACACTTCCTGACCTAGGGAGACAATGATTACAGGACAGATTAGTTCAATTGCTGCTATTGTAGCTTTCCCAGCCCTGGGTCCTGTCACACCTTGCCCAGCCAAGCACTTGCCTTTATTTTGTTTACCACTCACTGCCCATATTCTTCCTGTAAGGAGAGACTGAACTGTAAATGACATTTCCTACTTAACTTTGAAAAGCAAGAATAATTCCCATTCCATACAAGGGTTTGAGGCTGCCCCTGGCAATAACACATGGCAGTTAGGCTGGACCTTAACACAGCCTTAACCAAACAAAACCTGTGTGAGTGAAGACCTTCTCTCTGAAGTGTTTTAGATTAATTCCACCCACTCACTTCCAAACCATTACACAGAGCTTTCAGCTCGAGTGTATTCTGAGAATAACACACAGTTGGAGGAACAGATTATTAAACTTCTCTTGGGTTTCCATTGTGCCAGACACTATGAAAAGTAAAACACCTTAGTCCACGTCTCAACTGTTCCGGTTAATTCTTTCACACCTCAGCTAAAGACAAAACAAACTAATTTTGCTCCTCGAGAGGATAAACTATGGGCTATAATGGGATTGGATTATTCTTCTTTATGTTGTAAGAACTAGGTTAATCAGAATCTTTCAGCACTAAATGCCCCTTTTAGCATAAACACTTCCATTAACACTGGAATATTAATATTGGAAAAAAAATTCCAAAAAAATTCTTCCTAGAGTTGGAAAATAAAAGTGTCATCACTTACTTAATTCATTGACTACAATTAGAAATATTTATAGGGGAAATAACCATTCCAGCTTTAACAGAAACCTCATTGATCTGCAGCCTGAGGAAGAAAAGATGAACATTTGAGGTGATGGTTTTTCACTTTACAGGAAGAAAAGGGACCTTCCCTGCCCTGTCCTACCTCAGATCTGAGGGAGCAAATGCAGAGCCAGGAATGGGTTCCTCCAGACCCTACTCCCCCAGCCCAGCCCCCAGCCTGGCTGCCCAGAGCAGGACCCCAGTGCTGGAGGCACAGCCAGCACTCAGACCTGCTGTGGGGTCACACACATTCCTCCCCTGTTCCCCCACACCTCGTGTTCCTTTACAGCCATTCAGTAAAGCCCTGGCTTTGCCCTCTTGCTCCAGGATACCTGTTCTTCCTCTGTGTGACGCCAGTCTGTCCAAACACAACGTGCAGTGAGGACCTTTGCACAGGGACAAGAGCATCTGGTCCACTTGGAAGAACTGTGAACTCCCCAGCTCTTGTTGCCAAAAGGCCTCGTTACCAAAAGCCCCTCTTCAAAGGTCCCCTTCCAGTCACCCGTTTTGTGCAGGGCTGTGGGACAGATGGCAGAGCTCAGTGATCATAAGCAACTGCTATCAGTGCTAAATTTCTTCCTGGCTGTCTTCCATCACACCAGGACCTGAAATCATGACTTGTTCTACACACAAATGTGCAACAAAGAGGACTAAAATAGCAAAGGTCTTGATCAACTAATTAAACCACAGACAGTGGGAATATTGGTGTCATAACAGATGAAGGGTAAGGTACATCAGGACTTGCTCTCCAATGAGGAACTTAACTCCCACTGCATCCAAACTGCAAACTGATAGAACAGAGAGAGACACACAAATCCCAACCCCAGGAGCAAATTGCCCTGGGATCTATGGAATAACTCTGAGACCTTGAATACAACAGTCCCAACAATGCCAAATAGCACAAGTAGTTTCCTAGAACTGGCCTGGAAAATCAGTATTTATTGTCTTTATATGTGAGGCATAAAAGAAACACTTGACTTTAAAGCAATGGTCACATCAGCCTCCAGAAGACATGTAAAGCCAAGGCTTGGTTAACCACAAACCAATTAGTCCTTACCTCAGTGAAATGTATCTTGTTTAGACCATATTCCTACCTCTCAAAAAACACACCTCAGTGAAGTTCCACACGTCTCCTGAACCATCTGGTACCAGACATGTGAAGCTGGGACCCTTCCTCAAGCAGCCCCTTCCCAACCTTCTCCAGCCATCAGGTGAGACAAGTGCCTCCTGTTCAGGGAAAACACTGGCAGACACTGCCCTGGGAGCTCCATCAGCCTTCAAAAGTTGGGTTGTTTCCTCCTCTGTGAACAGAAGTTGATCATCCCTTAAAATGCCCATTGCAGCCAGGCAGCTGGGAAGGGGATCCAGCCTCAGAGGATCCAGGCAGGCCATCACACCAAAGCCCTGACACTGCCCATGGCTCTGCAGTCGTGCATCTTGAAAAGAGCATTTGCCAGAATAAAGCTTAAAACCCAGAACTGACCCTCAGTTCAACGATGTGCCAGTCAGGAAGGGAACAGCACATCCTGTGAAGTCTTTGCCTTTGCAACTCTTGTTCTGCTGGTCTTGTTACCTGGGCAGTTTTTGCAGGTAAGCAGTGCTTTTTAATTCTTCACACAAGTGCAGCTTCAGCTGTGCTGCACCTCCTTCCCTTCATCATTCTCACTCTGCTCCCCTGCCAACAGTCCCATCTTTATGCCCTCTGAAACACAAATTATGGATATTTTTCCATGAAACCTCATCTGTGAACACACACAAGGAACAACCTGAAGTTTGGGAGCAGCAGAATGTTGAATACCCATTTTAGGAAAACTTCTTAGCACTGCAACAATCATAAACCCAAACCCTCTGTATCCACCAAAGGAGGATATTTTCTGCTTTCAGGTCCCAAGGCACCGAACTGGGGCAACTGGAATAGTCTACAATCCATTTATTCCTCAGCTCTATCAGAGCAAGCTTTGACAGGGTCCCAAAAGGAAGGCTCAGGCTTCTGCTGACCACACATTGTTCCTCCTTGCACAGCAAGTTCCCACCTGTGGCCAGACAACTCAGGCTCTGGGGGTTCATTTCTGTCTGTACTTGAGCCCAGGTGTCAGGGGCTGGGAATGCCCAGGTCTGCACTGAGGAAAAAGTATTCCCCTTATACACAAAATGCATCTTCTGAAACAACTTCAGACTTCTTACAGTCTTCACTTGGCATAAAATGGACAAAACCAATAAAATGAACCTTTTTGCAGCCAACAGAAAGTTTGCAAAACCAGCATTACCTTACAGTGTCCACCTGCACAGTCTGAGCTGTGTCATTCAGCAGCCACACAGCAAAAGACACTTGCCACCTGTAAAGCCTCTCCTGAGGGAGGCCAAGGGCCTTGGGTAGGACAAGTATTTCTAAAGTCAAATGTAAGATAAGAAATGCCAAATTTAAAATAGTTGTCTCTTCATACTCCCAAAAGAAACAAGATGATCAGTGAGCCAACATTTTACAGCTGAATGATTGATGCTATAAACTTGCAGTTTAGGAAAAGGCTCGTGGTGAGGGTGCCAAATTCTCTTCTGGAGAAGAGCCCAATAAATGGAAGTTAAGCCTAAGTAAACCATTCTCTTTAACAAGAGAATGATACAACTGTGCTGGCATTTTGTACATCTCAACTGAACGCAAGTGTTGAGAGAGACTCTCCACACGCTCTGTGGTCCCAGCCAGCAGAGCCACACTCTGCTCAAAGCCCTTCCTCCAGCAGGTGCTTTCCTCCTGCTCCCTGGGACAAGGTGCACCAGAGCCCAAAGCTGAAGCAATTCAAACCTCTTCAGAGTTTGTCTTTTGTGCACTTTTTAGACTCCGTTTTTCCATTTCTGTCACTGCACCTTCTCACCTTCTCAGAATACCTGTGGGTTTATTTGGTTCACAAACTAGAGGAATCACAGAATCAAGCCCACACACAAACCAAGCCCCCACATGAGTTACGTGCTCTGCAGCTGACAGAAGGACACAAAGACACCTGGTTCAGAGGTTGATGTTGATCCAAAATCTCCTTAAACTTCCTTGGTTTTGGACTAACTCCAAGAAGTCTCTCAGAGGTGGCATTTACCTAAGAAGTTGTGCATTATCTGTCTATTGAGCTCTTTAAAAACAACACAAGCAAGCCAAAAAGTCTCCTTTGTCTTTCCAAATAATTCAGGAGGAATTTTGAAAACCCTGCATAGCACAGAGACCTTGGAGAGGTGATGCAATTCTTTGAGGAAACACTATTATCTTGTGCCACACTTCACACAAGACAGCTCACCAGAGACACTGCCAAACTCCTGAGGTCACAGGGTCTTTAAAGATCCAGGGCAGAGCAGGACAAGCCTCTAAACCCAGTCACAGGCCAAGAACATTCTCTTCCTGGCTGGCAGGGGATATGCAAAGACCCAACTAAAAAACAAGTAACCATGGACTTAATTTACCTCAAGTAGTTGATGAAGTGCAGAGTGTGCAGGCACACACTTAATCCTGGCTGTCAGGGAGCTCTTACTCATCCCTTTTACCAAGGAATGGTTACCTTAGATGCTCCACTGGGTAAAAAGCACATCCACAGGTCCTGACTGGCAAGGATTTCACACATTAACTTGGTTCATTGCAATTGCAAGCCCTCAGCAGACTTAGGAGTTAATGACATTCCTTCAGGCAACAAGCAAAAAGACACAAGAATGCACAAATTCCTCCACCCTGCCTCCCTCAGCCCTCATGGTAACAGAGAGAAAAACTATCCCTCTGCATCCTTGAGCCCTGCCATCCAAAAAAATGCATCCATTGCTCTGGATTCAAGCCTGTGATCCTGGAAAAACAATCAGGGAATCACTGACCAGGTCAGCGAAGATCGGAGATGGTTTTCAATCTACTGCCCAGAGAGGTTGTGGACTCCCCCACCCCTGGGTGTGTCCAAGGCCAGGTTGGACAGGGCTTGGAGCGACCTGGGATAGTGGAAGGTGTTCCTGCCCATGGCAGGAGGTGGAAGGGATGAGCTTTAAGGTCCTTCCCAACCAAACCATTCCATGATTCCATTCCTGCAGACACTCCGTGTCACCATTCCCTCCCGAAGGCCTGTGTTTGTTGATGAGAGCAGGTACAACGTGCCCCAGCTCTGGGAGCTCCTGTGCTGGAGGGCTCACATTTCCCAGGGGATGGAGCAGCTCCTGCAGGTTGGGCTCCCTGCTTGGTATGTCCACCCCACTATGGTCCCTCTATCTTCCTCTCTGAGTGTAAACCTGGACATAATCCCACTGCAGTCATGGTAGCTACAGCTGCTTGAGATACAGTCAGAGAAAGAACCACCAGCCCCTCTAGAGCAGGAGTTTCACTGCAACACAACCCGTTAAAAACAGACTCCCTGTCTGCCTGGGTAACGAAGGGATCTCAGGAAGCAGCTTGGATTACTTGCTTCATTTTGCCAGGGATCTCTTGGAGCCAAGTTTTCTTTCACACATGTACAGTTCCCTGTGTGTTTTCTGCACGTGGGGATAAATTCCCCATTATTTGCACATCACAGGCAAGAGCACAGGAAATAATCCCTGTGACACACAGAGGCTACAGCAAAGGGTTGCTGAGAAGGCTCAGCTCTCATTCCTTCCTCTCTACCTGCAAATGAATTAATCTGGGAGCTGCCTCTACATGTTCCAGCTGTGCTTGTGCAGGGTTTCCACACAACAGCACTGGGTACCATGTCAATTAGGGGGTGGACACAGTCACCATTAATTAGTCACATGGAGGATATTTTTAGAATAACTGGACAACATCAGCAAAAACAAATGCTTGTTCTTTTAGCAACATCTCACTGCTTCCTTATTCTTAATGAAGGCCCTGTGTCTTAGGTCACATCTGGCTGTAAATTTTTGGCACCAACTCCTGCCTATGGGAGCCTCAATCCATGAACCCCCTCAGCACCACAGGAACACAAGAGGACAGGCCTTCTTGGGCCAGCTCTCTCAAGATAAGCCAGGTTTACCTGCCACAACACTGGGCTCACCTTGGTAATACCTCCACTTTGAGGTGTGACTTGATCCTGCATAGATCAAATAGCACATAACTGTACTCTAAAGAGCAAACATCTTGAGATTAAACTGAGAAAATAGCCACAATTTGAGATTTTGCAATCAAAGGACAAGAGAAAAGGATTAATCCAGCCTTAGTTCATGTGAATACAGTTCCTTCCGCTCAGAATTTCAAGTTAAGTGTTTGTGTGTGTGGCAGGATTTTTGTCCTATGGAGTTTGTTGCATGTCAGGCAATGGTTCTAGAGAGAGCTGGCAAACTGTGCTTTCCTCCAAAGTTGGAGCACTGCACCCACAGCAGCGTGACAGCTTCAGTTTTACTTGGCAAGGAGCTGGCTCAACCCAAATTGCCGTTCTCTAGGGAGCCTGTATCACTTCTGGAACATGGAATCACGGAATCACAGACTGGTTTGGGTTGGAAGGACCTTAAAGTTCATCCAGTCCCACCCCCTGCCATGGGCAGGGACACCTTCCACCAGCCCAGGTTGCTCCAAGCTCCGTCCAACCTGGTCTTGGACACTTCCAGGGATGGGGCAGCCACAGCTTCTCTGGGCAACCTGGGCCAGGGCCTCCCCACCCTCACAGGGAAGGATTTCTTTCTAACATCTAATCTAAACCTGTTCTCTATCAGTTTAAAACCATTCCCTCTTGTCCGGTCACTCTCTGCCTTCATAAAAACTCCCTCTCCCTCCTTTTTGTAAGCCCCCTTTAGGCCCTGGAAGGGGCTCTCAGGTCTCCCTGGAGCCTTCTCTTCTCCAGGTGAGCACCCCCAGCTCTCCCAGCCTGCCTCCAGAGCAGAGGGGCTCCAGCCCTTGGAGCAGCTCTGTGGTTTCCTCTAAACTTGCTTCAGCAGGTCCATGTCTTTAGTATAACTCTGCCAGCCTGAGGTCCAGTGGTCCCAGCAGGAGAGGCCTCTGCTGCTGCCTGGGGGTGTGAGAGCTCTGGGAGGATGAAGGACACGCACAGGGAGGAGGGGGTCGGGCCCAGCAGGCACAGCTGGGGGCACTGTGGGTTTTGTTCTGGTACAGGCATGTTGAGGCTGTGGAGCATTACTTCTGAATGGGTGAGTCCTAATTTTCTTCCCCTTCCTGACCATGAGAAATGGGAGCTTTGCTGCAGGTCCTCTGAGCGTGCCACGTGCAGGGGGTTGTGTCTCCAGCTGCCCACAGACACCTGAGGAGACCTGGTTTGCCTTCAGGAGTTTGCTCCACGGGTTTGCAGGAGTCTCCTGAGGAGAACAGTGCAGGGAGCTGTAGCATCCCTCCAGGAGAGCAGCCTGGGTTACATGGTCACTCTGAAGGGGCTTCTTGTGGCCAGCACTGGGATTGAGAGCCAGCTGTGACCAGGACTGGGTCCAGTGCAGAGCCTGGCACATGTCCCACGAGCTGCTCCCAACAGGGCACTGGAGGCACTCAAGGAGTCACTAAATCCACCCAGGCACAGGGTCAGCTCGGGGCTCCTGCACCAGTGGCTTCCAGCCTGTGTTTGTTGTTTTTGTGTCACTCCTTTGATCCCAGAAAGGAGGTTGCTTAATATTTTCATGGCTTCCTTCCACCAGGGAAATTACATTTCAGGCTTAAAAGTCTAAATCTCTTCTGCTTCAGAGTCCTTTATCACTTTCAATAATCTGTAATCATTTCTAGACCTATTTCAAAGAAAACCAGTGACTCCTGAATCCACTATTATCATTTCATACTTTGCCTGAAGGCCTCTACAGGCATCACCTCTCTCTGCATTCAGGACTTCAGCAGCATTTTGGAAAACATTCTCTAGATAAGCAGAAGGTAGAAAATCCAGGCTAAATAAGACTCAGCTCTTTTGGAAATTCAGCTTGGCCTCTGAGAAATGAACTGTCTGTGGAAGGTTCCCTGTCCATGGCAGGGAGGTGGAACCAGATGATCTTTGAGGACCCTTCCAACTCAAACCATTCTGTGAGTCTATGAAAGTTTTAAAGATAAAGGACAAGGGATAACTGACCTCTCATCAGAGGTTAAACAACCAGGTCCATGGCACATTGTACTCCCCAACAGCTAAAACACCACAACACTCCTCCAAATGCCACTGGACACCAAGGACATTTTTACAGCAGATCTGGTGCATTTCTGCACCAGAAAAGTCCAAGAAACAGAAATCCTGCAGCTGTCAAAGCAGGATTTTTGTTGGATACCTGGATATGCTGAGGACAGCCTGCCTGCTTTAAACTTTGTCCTAAGGCTTCAGTTTCCACCCAAATCCATAATCTCTTGAGCGAGGCTACAAAATCACAGATTTTAGGAAGGGGACAGAACAGGACTTGAATTAAGTGCCTGCTAAAGTTCCATTAGCTCAGAGGAATAACACAGCACATCCATCAGATTTGATAAAACCTTCAATCCTGCTTCAACTTCCAAAGAAATGCAGTTTGCAAAAGCTCCCTGCAGTAAAAATCATGCTCTGGGTTTGTTTGGGTTTGTTTTTTTTCCCCATACAATAGAGATATTTCAACTAATAACTGAACAGCCAGAGCACCAAAATGCATAACCAGGTAGATCTTTCCAGTGAAAAAAAGAAATGAATTTAAAAAATCTGTCCCCTGGAGCATTAGGGACAACTGGCACAGTGAAACAGCCAGTGTCTCAATCTTACATTTTACCCAGTATTTTGTAATAAAAGGTTATGTAATTCCAAGTCATTTATACTAAAGGAATGTGGGAGCTACTGCAAAGCACTCCAGAGGATCAGGCAGAAAGCTTCATCTGCGCTTTTGGCAACTTGCAAATACTTTCCTGTCTCTGAAATTTATGGTTAATAATGTCAGTGCCATGGCTCTGGCAGGCAGAATCTCCAGTATTTCCAAACTTTTGGTTCAAGCTGATTATTCTTAATCCAGAAAATTAGGACAATCATTTTAGCTAGGTTTTTTTTTTAATATTTTCTTTTTTTGTTGGGTTTTTTTGTGAGTTTTTTTTTTTTTGAATGAGGCTTTCCAAAGCTCAGCACAATTTCACATCACTCCATCCCCATCTGAAAGAAGAGGTACACTTGGAGTGCCAAGGAGATGACACTGCCACAATTAGTGATGAAAAAGTGAGCTAGGAAGTTATCTTCAGTAGTTAAAGTCAAAATATGCATTTGATTAACAAGAAACAAAGAAAGTGTGACTCAGCTGAGAAAACAAAGCTCTCTTTAATTGAGGCACTGGAGCTGTTCTGCACCACAACAGCCGAATTGAGCCTCTCTGGGGCAGTGACCCCTCTCAGAGCTGGTTTTTACCTGCAGTTGCTGCTCTGGAAGGTAACTGGGGAACAGGAGCAGAGCTCCAGGCAGGCCAGCGCTTCCTCCACGTTCTCAGCTATGGAATTAATTCATGTCTGCAAGAATAACCCTGCAACCCCTGCTGTGTTGCGAGCCTCGACCCTCACAGCTCATGGGGAGCCAGAGGGGACCAGGGTGCTGCCCTTCTCCCACCCACTGCTCTGGGAAAGGGCAGGGTCGAGGGCACAACAGAGCCCCCCATCAGCAGAACTGCTCTGGTGTGATTTACAGAGCACAGCGGGATTTATGCCCTGGACCTGCCGAAGAAGTCACCACAACAAAAACAAAGCAAGCAGTCGGGAGTTTCACAGGTCCCTTGGGGACACAGTGACTTCTACTGAGCCAAAATCCAAGGAAAACCTCCTCGGTATCAGTATAAGCTGTTCCAGCTTATGCCTGGAGAAAGATCTCTTTGAAAAAGAACAAAGTAGAGCTGACTTACTTGTCCAGAATGAAATACAGATCAAACCCTCCGTAGCAGGCAGGACCCCCGTTCTCCCTCTTCCCGCTGTGTCCATCACAGGTGAGTGTAAAAATTGCTAGGAAGAGACATTTGAAGCCAAATCTCAAGATGCTTTGCTTTGCAATGGCCATTATATCCAGAGAGGAGGAGAAAAAGAAATCTCTTCTTCCAAGGCTCCCTTATTTCACAGGTTTCTTCACAAAAGCCATTCAATGACCTTTAAATGTATATATGTAGGTTGTATTCCTTAAAACTCCACTTGCAACAGTTGTCCTCAGGAATTGCAAGACTTTCCCCCTTGTTTCCCTTGCACTTCTGTTTCTCGGTTTCAGATTTCAAGATGCACAATACTGTATTTCACTTTTTTTTTTTTAAAGGGACTTGACCCTCAGTCTCCCTTGCAGCTCTCAGAAAGCAGCACCATTGTTTTGCAAGAGCAGAAGCAGCCTCCTCACAAATCTTGCTTTGTCACAGACTTCAGAAAATACAGGGAGGGTTTGAGGCTTTCTTCCCCCCCTTAATTATTATTGTTATTATTAAAGATGGTAAGTTCTACTCCTCCTTAGGAAAAAAAGCTCAGAGAATGCCACCTCGTGGTCAAAGCTCAGGCTGAGTGAGTCTGGTTTCCAGCATATTTGTGTGCTGAGCACATGAACACACCACAGCAGCTTCAGAGATGGACACAGAAGTGGTTTGCTCACAGCAGGAACAGCCCTGTGCATGGAGTCACAGACTGCGTTGAGTTGGGAGAGATCTTAAAGATCATCTCGTTCCACTCCCCTGCCATAGACAGGGACACTATCTCAGGTTGCTCCAAGCCCCATCCAACCTGGCCTTGGACACTTCCAGGAATGGGACAGCCACAGCTTCTCTGGGCAACCTGTGCCAGGGCCTCCCCACCCTCACAGGGAGGAATTCCTTCCCAGTATCCCATCTAACCCTGCCCTCTGGCAGTGGGAAGCCATTCCCCCTTGTCCTATCATGCCCTTAGAGACATCTGTGTTTCCCACAAAGGAAAAATCTGAGTTTACAGACCTTTAAAAACCTGGAGTAGCTTTACAGAAGTTAAAGCAACAAGCCATGCCAGGCTTCATCCCTTGTATTTTGTCAGTCCTGAGAAATACTCAGTAATGACTGTGCTTATCATGGAATTATTGAATCTCCTGAGCTGGAAGGGACACACAAGGATCATTGAGTCCCACTCCTGGCCTTGCACAGACACCCCAACAATCCCACCCTGTCCCTGAGAGAGTTGTCCGAATAACCCTGGAGCTCTGGCAGCCTTGGGGCTGTGCCCACTGCCCTGGGGAGCCTGGGCAGTGCCCAACCACCCTGTGGGGGAAGAACCTTTCCCTGAGATCCAACCTGACCCTGCCCTGACCCAGCTCCAGCTGTTCCAGGGTCCTGTCCCTGCTCACAGAGAGCAGAGATCAGAGCTGCCCCTCAGGAGGATGTTGAAGACCCCAATGAGATCTGACTTCAGTCCCCTCTTCTCCAGCTGAACAAACCAAGTACCCTCAGCTGCTCCTCATAAGGCCCCTCCAGACCCTTCCCCATCCTTGTGGCCCCCTTTGGACACTCTCCAATGGTTTTGTTATATTGTGTCCCCCCAAACTGCCCCAATGTTGAGGTGAGGCCGCCCCAGGGCAGAGCAGAGCAGGACAATCCCCTCCCTGATGCCCCCAGGACATGTTGGCCCTCCTGGCTGCCAGGGCACTGCTGGCTCAGGGACAACTGGCCATGGACCAGGACCCCCAGGGCCCTTCCTGCAGCTGCTCTCCAGCCTCTCATCCCCAGCCCACACACACAGCCAGGGCTGCCCCAGCCCAGGGGCACAATCCAGCCCTTGCCCTTGTTCCACTTCCCACGGTTGGGGATTGTCCATCTCTGGTCTGCTGAGCCCTCTCTGCCCTCGAGGGAGTCAACAGCTCCTCCCAGTTTGGTGTCCTCAGCAAAATTACTTAGTGTTCCTTTGAGTCCTGTGTCCAGGTTGTTAATGGAGATGCTGCAGAGCACGGGGCTGAGGATGGAGCCCTGTGGAACCCCACTAGTGATGGGTGCCAGCCTGATGCCACCCCAGTCACTGTCACTCTTTGTGCCTGACCCATGAGCCAGTTGCTCACCCATCATGTACCATGGTTCTCCAGCTGCGGGCTGGAGAAATTTTGTCCACAAAGATCTTGGGAGAGAAACAGGCTGTCCCCTCTCACCATCCTTACCAAACTCATTTCAACCACTAAAGCCTGAACTCTCCCTCTTCCAAGGAAACTCAATGGAAAACGTCACTTCATCTGCACCTGCATCTCCCAACTCCTTCCACAAACAGCACCACAAGCTCTAAGACTGGAGCAGCAGAGCTCAAAAGGGAGAGCATTCCCCTGGCAGTGCAGCTCTGACACCAATAAAAGTAAACCCAAGATTCCAGGAGTAGGGCTCCCAACTTTCCCTCCCAATCCCTCTCAGGCTGCACCCACACACTTCTCCTCCAAGTACCAACTGCTGCTGAGTGGAGCAGCTTCAGGGGTGAGGGGACCAGGCCAGGTTTCTGACGGGGGAGGCAAGTGCACTTGAGTCAGGCTTTCCAGCTGTTCTTCACTGCCTAAAGATTTAAATTTGTCTTTAAAAAATTCGTAGTGAAAGCAACCAATGTGAGGGAAGACCAGGACAAGCAGCAGGATAAGGTGCAGGGGGAAAAAGCAAACGGTGATAACAGACTTTTGACTGGAGTGAAAATATCTGAATGACAGACCAGTCAGACACCTTGGTGCACTTTGGGAGTGCTCTCCCTCCCATCCCAGCTGGGCTCAGCAATTGGAGCAGCTCCATCACCTCCAGTGGGAATAACAGAGACCCAGGCAAATGGTGCCTCCTTGGTCCTGCTGCCAAATCCTGGTCACAGCTGAACACAGTGCAGATCCCTTGAAGCCAAAGCTTCTCTAGAGCCAGACAGGAGCAGAAACAGGTGTTTTACAGGTGAATATCTTGGGCTTCCACATCTAAACCAGGGGAGGTGGGAGTGCAGGAGCGAGTCTTTCAATTTACCTCTGAGTCTGAAAGGAGAGCAGTGACACAGCTCATCAGTGCACAGGGAGAGGATCCGTGTCAGGGTATCAGCTTCCTACAATCCATGGAAATACAGCACAATGTCAGAAATGTGTACAAGAGCCCTTTGCACAGGTAGCTGTGCTGCTGCCTGAACTGAGGGCTGGCCCCTGCCCCAGCCCTGGGTGGGCAGGATGTGAGGGCAGGTGCACCTTTATGGGCAGTTGTGGAAAAGATGGAGCATCACCTGCTGGTCTGCATGTCCAGGTGATCTGGGGGCTTGAACCCTCCCAGATGAGACTGCTGGAGACACCATAGGGCAGAGCTATAGCTCCTGTAGCCAGCAAAGATATAGGGCTTGGGGATTATAAAGTTTTATAAAGCTGTTCTGGACCAAATCTGTTTGTAGTCACGGAGCTGGAGTTACCAAATCCTGGGATCAGGCGTGGAGAGTTTTGTGTATATATTTGTGCTGCCCTAAGGAAGGGGATGGGACTAGTCTATGGATTCTTTGTTTGGTTTTTTAAAAGAAAATGAGCTGAATGCAGGATGTAAAACTAGGAAGGCTAGAAGAAAAGCTTCCTCTCTGGGGACTGATGTGCTGGCTTTGAGACATTTTGGAAAAGTACTTAGAGCCAGCTTCAGATCTGAGATACAGTTAAGGCTCCTGTCATGGCCAGATTTGTGTTGCTGTCATTGGTTTGTGATCTGTGTCTGCTAAAAGATTAAAAGCAGTGATAATCTCTTCCATTTGTTTCTCACTGCCCCTGAGATGAACAAATACTTAGAGCTGAAAAAAATCCCAAACAAAGAAAAAGCTGTACCTCAGGAAAATAACTTTGTTGTGGAGCAAGAGGAGGGAAAGGAGGGGGAATGGAGGAGGAGATCAGATTGTCTGTGTAGCTGTGGATTCAGTCTGACAGAAGGCCCAGGAAAGCTTGGGGAAAAGCCAAGGAATGAGGCACCAGATGAAGCTGTGAGCACTCTGACATGGAGGGAGCTGCTGACAGAGTGGAACACTGAGCTTTGTGCTGCAACTCTGACTTTCTTGAGGATTAATCTTCTTCGAATGCAGGTCTTAAGAATGTGTATTTTTGTTTATGACCTGGTAAGAGCAGCATCAACACACTGAGGAATTCAGGTCCGTAACAGGAAGCTCATGTGGGACACAGGAGGGGTGTTGGAATTTCTGTCCCTCCCTTGCTAAAAAAATGTTAACCCCAAAAATATTATGCAGACTGCAGCTTTTGTGTGAGAGACCTGCCAGTGCTTGGGAAGATGAGGTGTGTTTTAGTCTTTGTGTAAGAGACAATAGTAAGGTGTTTTAACTGCATTCAGCAGTGCAATGGGTAATTAAGCTCCAACTGATGCCCTTGTCGAGTGATTAGAACTTGCATATGTAAAGGATGGGGGAAGTGGTATCAGCAGGTTTGGTTTTATCAACTACTCCCTTATATGTGTATGTGAGACCTTCTCAGAAACTCCCAGCTCAGAGGAAGCTGGTTCTGTCAGCCTGTGGGAGCAGTGGTGCTGCTGAGGGTGAGACACAGCACAGCCTTGGGTGGGTTTTTGGGGTGGTTCCCTTTGGCTCCCAAAGGCCTGACCTGTATGGTGGGTAATGGCTTTTGTCAAGATCTAAAAATCCCGTTCCCTGGTTTTTATGGCACTTCAGGAAGCTGTTGCAGCCCTGCGTGGATGATCGAGATGTAGCAAGTTTCCTACACCACCCACCGTGATTCTCACAATTCCATTATCTCCCTGCTGGCAGTGCAGACAGGTCCCCCAAGGGTGTCATTCAGCACAGCTGGGGGAGGACGGCAGAGATGCACTGCCCTGGGAGGTGCAGGACCACAGACTCCTCTGCACGTTTCCAGCTCAGTTGCGCAACCTCACGACTCGAGGCTGACACTCAGTGGCCAACAGGGGTTTTTCTTCCCTGGGCTGCTCTAATTTTTCAGGGGATCAAGAGCTCCCTTGTCTCTTGTTTTTGTCTGACTTTTCCCTGCTGTGATTTTATCTGCCTCTGCTGTAGCATGTAAGGGCTGCAATGTATAATTTCCTTGATGATTCGAGTTTGTTCCACTAGCTTTTTTAACAGGGGCTGCTAACTCTGTTTGTGTGACCTTTTCAAGCAGAGGAGTGTTACTCTAAGCATATGGATGAAAATATATTGCTTGTAATGTATTAATTAAATAGAAGAAATTGTGGCACAGGGAACAATGTCACCACAATCTAAGGAGGTGTCCTGGTTTCAGCAGGCAATCAGCCTCACTGGCAGTGAGTGGCAAAAGCCCCCCATGGGGACTGGCCTGGAGGATCCCTGGCATGGGCTACCTCAGACTATTTCAAGCACCTGAAAGGGTACTGGTGGATTTTTGGTAAGGCTGTCTTGGAGATGGAGGAAATGAAACAGTTCTGCCCTGCCTGGTCTCTTGGGGGACCCTTTTGCTGTTCAGGGTTG